CTCCCTACCCGACCATTTGGCCTTTTTACTCATTATGTAGTAAGAGACTTATTAAATAATCTCTTATTTTCTATTTATTTCTCAAAAGTGCTTGGTAACTATCCTGACTTGCCACAAAACACACCTAGGCACTTGACCTTTTCTGAGAGATTCATCGTCCTGACTAGTAATCCCTCAGACAGGGAACTGAAGAAACACCCAAATCCTTACTAGAGAAGGGCACGCTGGTCCCCTGAAGCTACATCACAGCCCCAGGCCCATGAAGGCAGGAGGAAGGGAGCCCTAGAAGGAAGACAGCCCTCTTAATATCCATTGATCCTCTCCACTATAAAACAGGACCCAGTCATTTTCCTGAAATCTAATTAGCGGTCTCGTGTCTTGGGAGGAGGGAGAGGAAGAGAGAATGAACAATGAGATGAAGTAATTTCTTTCACTAGAGGCCTTGCAAGCTCCTTACTCTTTGCAAACATATTTCATCTCTAATCACAGTATGCAAATTAGAGCAAAGTTTACATCAATATAATCAAAGTTCCAGGTTTTACTTGTCAGTGAATTTTCCATAATGTAACAACACTTCAGTGTTCTTCCTGCCAATGTTACAGAACCAATTGTTTTTGTGTAAAATAAAATACAAAACCAAAAATACTGTCTGTTCTTTGAATGATTAGGTGTTGGTGCTTTCTTTTAACTCTTGAGTATTTTCTCTCTTTCCCTACCAGTGTTAGATATTAACCAATTCGCAAAAGACTTATTTAGCCTACTCCTCTGAGCTGTGAGCTCCTGCGATATTAATTTTGTGATCCATCTAAGAAAATTCTCAGGATGGAAGCATGCCTAGTCTCTGGAATTGTAGTTTACCTTTCTGAGATGGGGCTGGCTCAATGCTGGAACTTCATCCTCATTTCATGCACTGGCTCCTCTTCATTCTAAGGCTTCTCTAAGGAACCAAACTTTTCTTTTTCCTTCAACATTTAAAAATCCAACAGAAGAGAAGAGTTGCATTCACAATAATATTAACAAAATGCTATTTGTTTCACAGGATAATCCTACAAAAACAGCTTCAACTCTACGAGGCAATTTCTATATCACTGGGGACAGAGGCTATATGGATGAAGATGGATATTTCTGGTTTGTTGCAAGATCGGATGATATCATATTATCCTCTGGGTAATTTTCTTTTTCCTCTGTGCATATGTCTGTGTTAACTGATCATCAGTGTCCTGGAGTGAACCTGCTGCTCACCTTTATAAATTCCTGCCATATCTTTTGTTTCCCAGCTACCGAATTGGACCTTTTGAGGTAGAAAGTGCCCTGATTGAGCATCCTGCGGTAGCAGAGTCAGCTGTTGTCAGCAGCCCAGACCCCATCAGAGGAGAGGTAAAAGAATGGATTAATCTCCACTTTATAACGTGTTGGCCATCTAACGCATACTTTTTTTTTTTTTTGAGGAAGATTAGCCCTGAACTAACATCTGCTGCCAATCCTCCTCTTTTTGCTGAGGAAGACTGGCCCTGAGCTAACATCCATGCCCATCTTTCTCCACTTTACATGTGGAACACCTACCACAGCATGGCTTACCAAGTGGTGCCATGTCTGCACCCGGGATCCGAACTGGCGAACCGTGGGCTGCCCAAGCGGAACATGCACACTTAACCGCTGTGCCACCGGGCCGGCCACTAAATACTACTTTAACACTGGAATGTGAAATAAAGAGTGAGAAATATTTGTCTAGGTCACTGGGCGCCTAAATTTTTTGGATCACACAGCTCTTAGGAATTTGAAGGCCATAAGGCACTACTGGACTTACGCAATGAAGGAAATGTTCTGTATTGGCACCATCCAATATAATAGCCACAATGGCTATCAAGCACTTGGGATGTGGCTAGTGCAGCTGAGGAAATTTTATTCTATTTTAATTAACTTAAATTTAAAGAGCCACACGTGGCTTGTGGCTACCATATTGAATAGCACAACCACAGACTCTTCTCATAAAAATGCAAAACTTTGCATAGAATTTCAGAGAAACTCAGAAGCACACTTACGGATTTTAGGTTAAAAAAATCTTGTGCTACTACTTCTACAATAATACCTAATGTTTTTGATGATTTAGTATGTTCCAGGTGTTGGTGTAAGCCCTCTATCTATGTTAACCTATTTCATCCTCACAACTTCTTTTTAAAAGAAGGAAACTGAGGCACAGAGAGGTGTCCTAACTTACTCAAGATTACACAAAAAAGTATGACTCGAACCCAGATTGACTGACTTCAGAGTTCATGCTCTTAACTACGTTAGGCTGTTTCTTGTTAACTTGTCATTTTCTGTAATGGTTTATAAAGACTTTTATAATGATAAAGTAGACTTTATCCAAGGTGTAGAAATCATCAATATGCAAACCAGTAATTACAAACATTAGCTATTAAAATAAGTTGCCTCTGAATGATTCACTTATAGCAAGGATAAATTTTTTAAAGATTCATAAAAATGTTGATAAAGCAGCAGAGCTGGCAAAAATACATATAATGTTATGAAATGTCAAAAAATGGATAGCACTAAAATTATATACAACACACACACACACAAGGTTGTGCAACTGCCCCATGGCACATGTAAATTAGAACTGTTCAAGGGGTTTTGGTGAAGAGAAAAATGAATTGCTCATAAAATGTAAAACTTCTTACTGGTAAACAATGATCAATATGTGAAAAACTTATCACTGCAAGTCTTCATTTCTCACTAACTGGTTGTCCTGAGTGATTTATTCTTTCAAACAGTTCATTTTCAATCAAATATTTACTCCCAGACCAAGATGGATAGGTAATGTTGCTAGCTTATCTCCAAGCTGGATACATGAATCCATGAATTCAAGATCTCAGCCTTTTAAGTGCAGGGTATTTCATTGTAAAAGTTGCAGGAGCCTCTCCTGGAGCTGTGCCCACAAGGAAACATCATTCCATGGCAAACCCTGGGCTGGTAATCTGGATTTGGTGGTAGAAACTAGTTGACTCACCTAGAGTCCTGCCTTAGAAAAGGCAGTGAATGGCAGTGTTGGCAGTGCCCCAGGAGAGAACATTCAGAATCCCAATCTACTCCTGAAGGGGGATACACATGAGGGATGTCCTTCTGTCTTCTCCATTAAAAGTCCAAAACCTCTGGGCAGGATTTTCCAAGACATTTCAAGGAAGGGTGAACTTTGGGGAACAGGATTTGTGAACATAGTGATAAAGTGACTCTCTTCTGCCAGTTAGAGAAAAGGGGCCACCACCACTTCTGCTCTTGTTCCGCAGGGCCAGGTAAGTGGGTCACAGCAACAGGAAAGTGGCTGTTGGAATCTTCACAGCCTTGCATCAACAGAAGTGTCTTTGGAATGGAGTGCACAATCTTAATGAACTGTTCCTGTTAACAAGGATATAGCAACCTAGTGTGAATACTGCTTATAAGGGTCACGCTGAGGGTGGGACCTACAAGCTAGGCTAGATCAAGCTGGGTTGTTACACAAGAGACTGTGTTTAGTGCGTTGCCAGGTTTCCAAAAGGAAACTTTTGAAGGAGATAAAAGATAAAGCAAGAAGTCAAGAAGAGAGATAATCAAAAACAGGCCAGAAAGTAGAGTTCAAGATGTAGTTAGATGAGAAGATTCAAGGGTCAGAAGCTCTCTTCTATTAGATACAGAACAAGAGGTATGTGAGTCAACTGGATGGCTTAAGAGCAGAGAGCTGGGATCAAACCCTAATAAACCTTCTGGGCCACCCTACCAGGCACTTAGGTTCCCAGTTAGAGAAAGTAAACAAGACATACTAAAACATAAAAATACACAACTCATTTTTCTGGTGTTTCAAATATTTATTTTAGGTAGTAAAGGCTTTTATTGTTCTGAGTCCTGATTATAAGTCACATGATCAAGAACAACTGAAAAAGGAGATTCAGGAGCTTGTAAAAAAAACTACAGCACCTTACAAATATCCCAGAAAGGTGGGTATTCTAATTCTGATGAGTATTTCCTTAGCGTTCTGAAAATTTCAGCTCATTATTTTTTCCATTTTAATGAACATTCCTCTCAAACGTGCTACACCAAATGTTCCAAACTGAACTAAGGACATGGATAAGAATCAGAATCTTTGTGATTAAAATGAAACTCTGAACCTAATTTGTTGGGTCATTGGCTCACCAGACTCATTGTAAATACTAAATATCAAGAAAAATCTCCTCAACAATACCCTTCTCCCTTTTTGGTTGTTACTAAAAAATCCACTCCAATGGGTGTCCTAATCTTTCATCGAGAGTTCATAATAGAACTGCTATATAATTGACTTTATCTAAAGATGAAAACTTTTGGGCTAATTTTCTTTCCTTGATTCCAACAGATAGAATTTATTCAAGAGCTGCCAAAGACTATCAGTGGGAAGATAAAAAGAAATGAACTGAGAAAGCAAGAATGGGAAACAATTTAAATCCATTCCATTAATTTCCACAGTATTATAGATTCCATGGTATTTATAAAACAAAGACTCTGTAGAAACCACAAGATTATGGAAAGGTGATGAAAAATGTGATAGTATGCTTATAAACTATTGATTTAAAATATCTTATGGTTATAACATCAGAAGCTGAATTTTGAAATAAAATATTCAGTCAATTTCTCTGCTTTAGTGTCAATGTTCTTATAATTTGGTGACATAAAAAGAATACCATCAACTGCTGAGGAATTTTTAAGTATACAGTATAGAAGCAATTTCTGAACCAAATCTGTTGATTTTCAAATGAGTTGAATAATTCTTCTGATATGTTGATATACAAATCAGAACCAATCTTCAAGCACTGAAATAAAACTAACAACTCATAAAAGTTCAGAAAAATAAACCATATCAGAAGATTATCATAATTCTCAAAGTACAAGTATCTAGTTGAAAATAGGCTAGGGATTTTTATTAGTCACATTTTTATTCAAATAAAGAGTTTAAAATTTGTTTCAAGATCTAATAGTAAAAAAAGGATATACTATTGTTGCTTATTATATTTAATTTAATAAATATAGTTTACAGAATACTTCATTTGTGGTTCTTCAAAAAAGTATGATAAATTTGGCAAATGGTAATATATGAAATATAAATTAAATAGGGTAAGACATTATTAGAATACTCATGATGTTTGGGAATTCAAGGAACAACCAGGAAAGATACATGAACAGAAGACAGATGTTAGATAACTGGTGAATGAAATTAGAAGCCTGTGAAATTTGTTTTTCCTTTTTTCAGTCTATGTGTTTAGTAGCCTCAGTGTCACCTACAGACTATGTATGATAAATCCTCCTAACTTGTAGCCCTATACACTTTTTTCTCTTTACTATACTAAAAGTCACATTAAAGTAAAAATATAGTTTAGATGTAAAAAAGTTTATCAATTCCTCATTGAAGGTCTGAGTCTTAATGAATTTTCAGTAGAAAAATTTACATTTCTGTCACAAATAGGGCTTATTTCTGGAGAACTAAACGCGAGTCCCCCTGGGGAATGAGGCAGAACTATGCTATTGGCTCTTTCCTTTTGAAGTGTTTGTTCCCATTTGAAATAACCACAGCATTTTCTGTTTTCTTGGTATTTCCCAATAGGGCAACAGTAGAAGACTTTTCCATGGTTTGGTCCATTATTAGAAACAACAAGTCTCTTACATCTTCGGCCACACTTGCATAAAGGAGGTGTCATCCTCCCACTCTTCCAAGGCTCTCGTAGGTTAACTGTAGAAGTTAAGACAGAGGGGAGAACCTTCTGGGAAGACCTTCTCCCTGGGGAGCCAAGAGATGATGTGGGCTTTTCTTCATGACTAGTGAAGGTCTGGTTTTTGGCTGGTGGGAAAGCTGAGGGAACGGATGGACTCCTTTCAGTACCACCTAAAAGAAGAGGACGTTTTCCCAAAACTGAAGGATGAGACATACTGGCATTAACGCTGTTGAAGCTACTTGATTTGCATTCAGGTAATTTAAAGTCAGAAACATCTGAACCTGGATTTTTGGGTTCTTTTACATCATAAATAGTAGTGTGTGGACTCTTATACACAATAGACTGAGAGGTTTCAGATTTTTGACAAGTTTCTTCTGTGCCTCCCAAGTTTTCATGACTCAGCATTTCAGACTCTTTTAAAACCATTAATCTTTCTCCAGAATTAAATGAAGTATCTAAGTTTGAGTCACTAATGGCAGGCATAAAATCTACACTTTGCTCAGGCTGAGAAGCTGGCAGTAAAGCTATATCCTCCCAATCAGCCAACATAGGTAAACAGTCAAGAGCAGAACTCATTTCTGTATCAGAAACATGATTAACAGATGAAAGGGTAGTTGAAACACGTACCAATTCTGAACCAATTGCTGAAGACTTAGATTTGGTATTAAATGCAAGACGTTCATTTTTTATTTGCTTCTGCATAGGTGTATCCAAACTGGGAGACTGCAACTGCCCCAGAGATGTGGAGGACTTAGTATTGAAAAGAGAGAAACAGCTTTTGACATTGTGAAGATCCACTTTTATGTCGTTCTTTAGTTGTAACTGATCTTGCTGTACCTTTATAGGAGGATTCACACCAACTGATGTCATTTTAACTTTTTCATGAGGATTTATTGTATTTTTAGGCTCACTATCAAATATGCTGGGACCCTGAATGTTACTGTTGCAGGCCAATGTTTCTTCAACTTGATTTGTATTCAAATTTCTGGCCAAAATGTTGGGATTCTTCTTAGTGGGGACCTATGATTCCACAGACAAATCCAACAGCTTTAGAAACTGTGTATTTGTAATTTTTTTAATATATGTTATATGATATGACAAGAAAAATATCTTCATTAATTGATTTATGAATGATTGCACACATGACATCTACATATCAATGAGCCTATGATTACTTCTGGAGTTTGAGATGACAGAATAAAGAGGCAAGACACCACTAACCTTCTTCAAGGGCCTTGTAATTTTCATGAAGCAACCATCCCTGATCATTTTCCAAGCAAGAAGGGCAGTATTCCGAGAATCATCCAACCCTGAGGAAATAGATACCAAACATGAATTTAGTGGTACCAGTGTAAAGATATATAGCACAAAAACCTCCAAAACCAAAAACCGCCACTTAAATAGAAACTGGAATATACTGTTAGTTTTATGATCATCTATTAATTTTAATCATAGCAAATTGGTCTTGTGGAAAGCTGCAGCAGCCTTCCCAATGAAAGACAAGATCTCCCACATTTACAGAGGAGGAAGTGAACATTTCTTAGACAGTTCACAAAATGTGAGCAACATTCGGTAGGGATCACATTTCAAGAGTAATCTAATAGTCTTGTTTAGTTTTTTCACTAGTCCACTGTGTTATTTGGGCATTTATTTAATCTTCATTTGATTTGGCTAATTCTTTTCATTCTTTTTAGCAACTAGAAAGCCACTAGATGGCAGTCTTGTCTTTACAATACTTTATGAAAGTCCATTTGAAAGTCTTAGAAACAATTCGAATTGCATAGATCAGGAGTTTTTTTTTAGGCTGAAGGATATTCCTTATTCATGACATCATAAAAAAGTAAGATTCACTTGAAAGACTTTATAAAACTAAAATAACTTACATAATACAATGATTTTCAATTTATACTAACCAGAATGTTCTCGTCCCAAGAATTCTAGTCCCACTTCCTGCAGGGCACCACTTAGTCCTTTTGGTTTTCTCTTATAGAAAATCTAATCAAATAAAAGAAGACATATCTAAAAAAAAAGGATTACTATTCGAAAGCCTTTGTATTAACCACTTACTTTTCATAATTTTTCATTCTATTAGATTTGGAATGTGGTTGTTTTTGTTGTGTTGTTTTTACATACTTTAAGAAATATATTTATGTGAACATTTCAAAAGAAAAGACTTTATTTGTAGAAACCCATACCCATGTGTGGGATAAAGTTTAGTCATTTTTCAAGAGAAGGAAAGTGAACACGTCCCCATCTTTGACCCTTACCTTGTAAGTTACTCTGAGATCAATCCAAGAATTCAAGAACACAGGTTTTAACAGTTGTTTTCTTTTACACTCATACTCCAGGCAAACCCCCAAGTCCCAGTCTGCATAAAATATATTAAAATAGAACAAAGTCAATGATGCCAGCAGATTTTACTTATGCTATTGTCATTTATAAATAAATGCTAAAAGATGATATAAAGTAAAATAGTAAGATTTAAAATAATAGTATATTATTATGCTATAATAATATAAAGTAGTAAGATTTAATTTCTCTGCTAATATCTAATAATTACTCACTTTACATAACTTTCTATTAAGAAATTAGGTTGGTAACAAAGTTTCAAAGTTTCTTAAATACCCAATAAAACACACTGAATATTTCAGAAAGAAGAGTAAGGTGTCAAATTACAAAGGCTATAGGGAGAAGGTTATTTGCTTTCGACATTCTAAGAAAATATTAATGTAATTAAACCAAATATCTTATAGCAGCCTGAAACCAAATATGACTATCAATGCTATGCTATCAATGGCACAGCATTGCTATCAATGACTATTAATGACAATGCTATATCATGGGCATATAAAAGATCTACTTAAATGGCTCATTTTTCCCTTGATATTTATATTAGTAGGTGTGAAAGTATAAAAGCAAAGGATGTGAGTTGAATGAGAACTCTTTTTATTCAAGGTTGGGAAAATAGCATGATAAGAGTTTTCACTAGATAATCGTCTTTACCTGGACTCAGAACAGAGAGGAACAATCTAGAAAGATTCTTAAGATTAAGGCTTAAAATTTTAAGGTGTCCCAGAATGGTAATTTTAAAAATATGATTAAATTTACTATTCTTGTTTAACATCTGCTAGGCATTTGGATTTCTTTTCCTGGCCCAGGAGGTTAACAAGTATAATTCTTACTAGAGATAAAGAATTATATACTGGTAACACTACTCACTTATAATTGATAGATATAATTTATTTTTTACCTGACCAAGTAACAAATGCACATAATTTTACTTCGGAAGTAGAAAGATCTGCAACCCCGGAAGCAAAAGTAATTTTCTTCTGTTGCTGAATCTTCTGAATCCATTTACAGAACTGAGATAAGCAAATCTTCAGAGGGACTCCTTCATCAACTTGAGCCTAAAGAGAGTCACAAAATCTGAATTCAACAACTGAATTCCATAATTATTGAGCACATAATTAAATACTGTGAAGGGATATAACAAGAAGAAGAGGTTCTGACAAAATTTTATCTAGTGAAAAGATGTTAAAACACCTAAGAGACAATATAATGATTCAAACTCTGCAAGGTAAGAAAAATTAGGTTGAGCAATCTAAAATCACACAGAAATATAATAATTAAATCCATACTGAAAGAAACTTGATGTCATTTGATTTCCACAAAATAAATTTGATATTCATTTTTACAACACTGTTCTTCCTTATTTGTAAAGAATTCCAATGGACTTCTGGAGGGGACATTATTTCCTTAACACTGAATAAATGAAATTCCAATGGTATATAGCTTTTACTTTATTTTTGAAACTGATTTCTGAATTTTAGTATTTGCATCATACCTGCTTGTTTGTTGAGGGCATAAGAGAGGTGGTGAAAAGAGGAGGGCATACCTGCTTTATGCCTGTCAGTTCCACGCAAAATTCAGAAAGAATTGGATGTTCTTGAGGCTGAACATAAGCGTGGAACTCAGATTCAATCTCTCCAGTGGATGTGTTCAGCAATACTGCTGGAAATTCAACTACATGAAAGAATCAATTGATACGTGAATATATAATTGTTAAATTAATGCTGTAATCACTCTAAATTAAACATAGATTACCCTCATATAGCATTATTGAACAATTGTTTCAGTAAAAGCATATTAAAATGACCAAAGCAGTGTGATCTAACAATTACGTTATGCCAAAGAATAACTAAAAATATGAAAGTTATATCTACTTAAAACTCTTGAATATATTTCCACAATTAAGTATGAAGACCATAAGGAAGTTGAAATGTACTTGTTTTTGCAAAGGTATTTTTTTTGAGGTTCTGTGCAATTGAGATGTAACCCTAAAACAATTATTTTATATGATGACACATGTAGGTATTCAGGTTTTTCTTCTTTTTTGTGTCAAATCACATTTTATAGTGAACTACCAATTCATAGACCATTTTGTTTTCTTAAACTAACCGTTGACTCATTTCTATCTATAAATCTTCAAGTTACTCATCAAGTGCTAGTCCTGGCCATCAGCAGTCCAGACTTACTTATTTCCTGGCTCTGGTGGTGTTTCCCATCATTCCAGCATGTCGACTCAAAATCAATGACAATTAAGTAGTCAAACAACTGCTCTGCAAAAGGTCAGGATATTGTTATGCTTTACCAGTGTGAAAAGTCCAGCTACAACATGTAAAGAAACTAAGCACACTACTTACTGGATTTGCTGCTTCCTAGATTTCCATTTGCTGGTACAATTGACTTTCTCCTAATTAATCCAAGCTGCCTAAAAATGTAAAACAACCCAGTATGTTCAACAAACCCATTCACACTCCTGTTTGAATAGGCTAACAAACTAATGGTATAACCCTCATTATTAATGTATTGTGATTGAGAGGAAACTGAACTAGACTTTAAGGGCAAAAGACCTTGACTTTTGTAGTGCCACCCTCTCTTGATTTTAGTAGTCATTTTTATCTGCATGAGCCTCAAAGTACATGTTGCAAAGTTAGACTAATTCTTTCTGCGCCCCTTATTTTGCAGTAATACCAAAGAAACGATTGTAGAGGTAAAGATACATAGAAAAGTTTGTTATTTTTGCCTCTGCATTGTTCAAGCCCTTGCTGTGTATACAGCCCAGTTCTGAGGAGACAGGGCAGGTCCAGTCTTCTAGGAGCTTAAAATATCTGAGAAAAAACCCTAGACATCCATGGTAAACTACTGGAAGGTAGTATATGATAAAGGATCCCCAAAGACCCTGAGTCCACAGAAAGGGATGAGTTTCCTGAGGTCTTAAGCATGGCGAGACCACCTTGACGAGTAGCTAGTTTCACCAGGCAGGTGCCTCCTGTTCTAGTTTTTTGTTTATGAGGTGTGATGGGGAGTTGGGAATAATAGCTGCCATTTATTCATTGCTTACTACATAGCAGGCACTGAAGATGGCGACCTCACTTAATCCTCAACAACTGTACAAAGTAGTCACTTTTGCTACCTATATGTAATGGATGAGAAAACAATTTCGGTTATTTGCCAAAGAACACATATTTGGTACGTGAACCGGGGTCATCCAACTCCGAACCGACACTATTCTCTATTACACCAATTTCACAAATCGGAAATGTGCACAGCGTTTCCAGGCATCAGACAGAAGGCTACAACGATCCACATTATGAGTTACACGGCTCACTAGGACGTGGTGGGGTGAACGGCTTCATGGGTGCACTGGGGGCTGCCTGAGACCTGCGACCGGTCTACAAGGCGCTGTCACGTCCAGTCGTTTCCCGAGGCCTAGAACGCGCCGACACGGGCTCCAGGCCACACAGTCAAGAACCCTGGTCCTTCCAACCTCGCGCACAGGGCGGCCTGAGGCTCCAGGCCGACACCTTTCAGCCCGGGCGTGAGAGCGCGGGTCGGAGACGCCGGGGCTGCAGAGAACGGAGGCTGACGCCGCGCGCCCCTGCCCAGCCTGCGGCGGACGCCACCGCGAGACTCGGAGCGACCCCGCCCCGCCCGTCGGCCCGAACTCCCTCGCGTACCGGGCCAGCCTCTTGGTCGCCATTCTCGACACCCCTTTCGCTTCACAGCCCAACTGCCGGAAGTCGCTCGACTCCACTTCCGGCCCGTTCAAACGCCGCGCGCGGAGGAGGAGGGTCGGGCTGCGGCATGTGGGGCGTGGTTTCGGGAGGGAGGGAGCCGCTGGGCAGCGCCCCCTTCAGTCTTTTCCCAGGGGAGGAGGCGCGTTTGCGCCCTTGGGGAACCGTTTGGAATCCTGCCTGCGGCGTGGACGGTAAAACCGTTTGGCCTGGGGCGGCGCGGTTCGCTCCGCGGCGGGGAGCGCTGTGTGAACGGAAGTGGGGAGGGTCCGAGGGAGGCGGTAGCCGTGGACGCCCTGCTGCCCCCCGCTCGGGAAGCCGGGCGTCGGGGTTTCCTCAGCTCCCGCCCGGCTTTCTGCGCAGCCTCATGGAGCCCGAGAGGGGAAGGACCGGGGCGCTCCTCCAGAAGGGCCGGAAGAGGAGGCGCGCCCGCGGCAAGCACGTCGGGGCGGCCGAGGCGCGGAGAGCCCGCTCGGAACCTGAGGAGAGGCGGCCCGGGGCCAAGGTGAGCGGCGGGTCCGACGGGGCGGCCCGAGGCGGTTCGGAGCTCCCAGCCCCTCGGCCCAGCGGCCGGCAGCGCCCGGTCCGCGCTGGATGCTGCTCATGCGCCCCGCCCTCCGGCCTCTGGGAAGCGGCTCTCCCAGCTGTAAAATGGGAGTGATGGGGCAACGCCTCCCACCTCCGGGGAGATACTGGCGGGTTAGACCTGTGTAGACCTGGCGCACAGGACGGATGTTCACTCGGCAGACGTTGATTCGGGTGTTCCGTGTGCCAGGGTTGTTCTAGGTGCCGGGGACATCCCGGCGCACGGAAGCACGATTCCCTGCCCTCGTGCAGTTTACGTTCCAAAGGGGAGTCGTGAGGCTGCTGGTCGTCCCTGCCATTTGCTGAGAGCTGAGCATGGGTCGCTCATCCGTCAGTCGTCACCTGTCTCTTGTGGGCCGGGTGCTGGGCGCCGCCCTGAGCCCCTGGGCTGCAGCGGGGAGTGGAAGACCACTGCTTAGGTTCCAGTGGGGAGAGACAGAAGATCAACAAAAGATACGATGTGTCATCCAGGATGCTAGACGAGAGTTAGTGCTCGGAAACAGATTTTATTGAAGGGGGATTCCACCTTTTTTTTTTCTTTCCTGTCAGATTGGCAAAGCAATATTTTAACGGTTAATGTGGTAAGAAGTGTAAGGAAATCGACAGTCTCATCACTTTCTAATTTTGAAATAATCTCAGACTTAGAGAAAAGTTGCAAGAACCGTACCCAAAACTCCCCCAGCCAACGTTTGAAAGAAGTTGCTAACACAATGCGCCATCTCCCCTCCCCCATTTTAGTGTATATTTCCTACGAACAATCCTCTGTAACTGCCAAAATCGGGAAAGAACTGATTCATTGCTGCCATCTAATCCTTAGGCCTCATTGGAGTTTCTCCACTTCTAGTAAAGTCCTTTTTAAGCAATAACATCCTGCCTAGAATGTGGTACAAATGGTTGTCATGTCTCCTTCCATCCAGACAATTCCTCAGTCTTCCTTGACACTCATGACCTTACTACTTTTGAAGAATCCTGGACCAGTGATTTTGTAGAATGTCCCTCAAGTTAGGTTTGTATGTTTCCTCATCGATTAGATGCAGGTTAACATCTTTGGCAGGAATATTGCAGAAGTGATGCTCTGTTCTCTTGTATTTTATCAGGTTGTACATGATTCTGATTTGTCCCATTACTGGTGATACTAACCTTGATTACTTGGTTAACATAGTGTGTGCTAAGCTTCTCTAAACTTACTGTTTTTTCTCTGTAATTTTGTAGGGAGATGCTTCTTCATTAAACTTGCAATTCTTTTTTTTTTTTTTTATCAATATGAACTCATGGTTACTTATTTTATTCAATGGTTTATAATCCATTACTGTATTTATTTTGATACCGAAAATATCCCAGATTTGGCCATGAAACTAGCTTCTATGTCCTTTGGACATGACCTCATCTTTCTTTGTGCATTTCCTTACTTTTCTGGCGCAAAAGGATGTTGTTCCAAGCTCATCTGTGCTTTCCCTGCCCTAGCCCTGGAATCAGGCATTTCTCCTTAGATATTTGGTTCTTTTTAGTGGAGAATGACATTTAGAAATGCAAGGTCTGGGTGCTAGATGTGCTTATTGCTATTGGGATGTCAGTACTCCTCCAATAAAGCTAGGGAATATGTGTGTATATGGGTATATCTCTAACAGTGAGAAATCTGACTCCCATTATCTTCAATATATTTGATCAGTCTCCCATTGCTGCCACATACTCCTCACCCTTCTTGGGCTCTGTCACTCTGGCCTTGTACCAGGTCACCCTCCTGTGTGAATGTCCTTTTCCTTCTCATATGGACATCTTGACCCTGTTTGAGCTCTGAATTCTGTGAAGGGGTCCCATTGTCCCTCAGCATGACGCTGTCTTTTACCTTAAAGTTTCTGACATCTGAGGGGAGGCTCCACTGCTCTCTCCTTCCCACAGCATGGATGTCCTCCTCATACCTCTCAGGGTTTGACACCCCACACCAGGCCACCCTCCTACATGTGTGTCCTGGGTTTCTACCCCTGGTCCTGCGCTGTCTCCCCTTTAGGACGACCTCCTCACCCTACTCAGGCTCTGACGTCCTGTGCTCAGCAACTGTGATTACTCATGACCATATGGACCCCTGCCTGACTCAGTCCCAGCTCATCGATCTCATACATTTTTGGTTGGTAGGTATAAATTGGTACATTCTTTCAGGAGTTAGCAATATTGTCAGAATGTAAAATATACGTGCTTATTTGACCAGGAATTTATCCTCAGAAAATAGACAAGTGTACAAGGATGTCCACACAGGAGTTTCTTTCAGATAAATAATAAGTTTTTAGGTAAATTTAGAGACTGGACTGTTATTAAAATTGACGTTATATTTCACTGATGTAGAAAGATCTGTAGATTTAATTTTTTTGGTGGGAGGAGTTGGTTACAAAACGGAATGTATACTATAATCCCTTGGGGGTGGTATAATAGAGAGATGAAGAGAGTTTTGGCTTTGGAGCCTGCATTCCAGTCTTGGTTCTACCGTTTATCTGTTCCTCCATTTCTTTATCTGTAAAATGGGGATAATAGTAGTATCCACGTAGATGACTTGTAAGAATTAAATGGTTTAATAGATATAAAGTGCTCAGAACTGTAAGTGGCTGATTATAAGTGCTCAACATTAACTTTAAAAAGTCACAGGGAAAAAATAATAGTAATAATATCTGATGTTTATTAAGTACTTATGATATGTCAGGTACTAGCCTCAGTACACTGCGCTTGCACTGCCTTATCGGTCTTCCCAGTAATCTCATGAGGTACAATTATAATTACTCTGTAGATGAAGAAACCGACTCTTAGGTTCAGGCACATGTCCCAGACAGTAGAGCTTGGTATTTGAACTCCGGTAGTGTGACTCCAGGGCTTGAGCTCCTAACCACTATACTCTGCTGCCTCCCAGACCAAAATGACAGTGGTAATTATCTCCGAGTTGTACAAGTCCAGGTGACTTTTATTTTATCTGTTAACTGTCTTTTATCTATGTTACCTTTCTCTGTTATCTCACTCTTTTAACAAGCATGAATTGCTTGAATAACCAGATACAAATGCAAAGCTATTTTAAGGAGTAAGGAGCTTCAGGGAACTTCTTGATGCCTCCTTGATAAAGTCTGACTCCTTACCTTTGACCACATTGATCTTGTGTGATCTGGCTCCCACTGCCCTCTCCTCTCCTGTCTCCGCTGCTCTGCAACATGCAGTCTTGGCTCCAGCCAAACCAAACTCCGTGTTTAGACACAATGTTCCCTCCTACCTGGCTGACTCATTATTGTCAAGGCGCAGCCCCAGTATTTTCATCCCAGTGAAGCTATCCCTGAAACTCTAACCCCCAAGGCAGTTAGCCTCTTTGCATTGTAATTACTTGTTTCTGCATTTTTCCCCCTACCAGGATGGCTCCTTGAGAGCATGAATCATGTTTTCTTCATCCTACTATCCCTAGCACATAAACAGGTATCTGTAATTAAGGTTCTGTATCAATGTTTATTAAATATTCCATTAATAATGTTATAGCACATGATGTTGTTTAAGACCTTCATTTCCAATTAATTAGAAGCTTATATTTCAGTATGTGCTAAAATAATCAGAAACTAGAATATTGTGGTAATTTGCCTTGCTTTGTTGCTGTTCTCAATAGTCATAATTTGTTATGCCCTGATTTATGTTTGCCGAAAGTCTGCTTATCTACCATTTTATTGGCTGAAAACTGTGAAGTAACCCATAGCCAGCCATGTGAATTGCTGAAGTATGCAGTTCTGGGGAAATTTTCATCTCTGCTTACATTCACCTTTTCTTCTTGCGTGTTGTCCACTTTTTTTGCTAGAGCCATTAGCATATTAATCATCATAGTTTTCAGTTCTTAGCCTGAAAATTCCATCATCTCTGCCATACTGAGTTTTATTCTAATGCTTGCCCTCTATATTCAAACTGTGTAGTTTTTTCTTTTAGTCTGCCTTGTAAGGTTTTGTTGAAAGCTGGATGTTGTGTCCTCATTTAAGGGAACAACTGAGGTAAACAGGTCTTTAGTGTGAGGATTTATATTTGTCTGGCTAGAGGTTAGGCTGAGTTTACTCTTAGGTCAGACAGGAAGAAGAGAGAGCTCTGGAGCTGGGTAATTTCCCTTAACCAAGGTCACTTAGTCTTTGGAAGAACACGACTTAGGCTCTGCTAAAACAGTTTCTCTTGAGGGCAGGTCTTTTTAAGAGGAACCGAATACTATGAGTTTATTTCTAAGTGGCTGTTTTTCTCCTCTCCCTCGATAGCATGAGGAGATTTTTCTCCAGTATTTACTGTGAGAACCTGTTAGGATTCCTGAAGATAAAATTCACACAAGTATGGCAGCTCCTCGAGGTTGGGGCACCCTGGCATTTTTAAATCTCATGCTTGTCCAAGCTGAGTGTCCAGGACTTCATCAATTACAGCATAAGTTTTCCTACTATGATGTTCTGATTCCTATGGAGATTTCTGACCTTGGGCTTCTGCTCCAGTAAGTGGTGATTGTCTTTATCTGCAGGTCTCGTTCTCTAATTCTACAGGCAACACTTGGCCCTGTGATATCAGTTCTCTGGTAGATCTAGGAAGAATTTTTGCTTTTCAGTTTGTTCAGCTTTTTTCTTATTAAGTGGACAAGAGTGACAACTTCCAAGCTCCTTACAAGCTAGACCAGAATCCAGGAGGCCATCTCTTTTGGTTGTTTCCTTTAGATCACTAACTTGTACACAAATTAATGTTTGAAATGGAAGTTAACTTTGTAAAATACTCTAAAAAGAAGCCAATGAGTAAGACAACAATATATTCTCAATGAGAAAACTACAATTTATAAACCTTGACCTTTAAAAAGAAAACATAAATATTAAGTATTTTGTAAGCCCGTCCCTCATCCTGCATGCCCCTGCCTTTGGGGTTGGGTGACAAGTGACAGGGAAGCTCACTGTTCCCTAAGAATCATGTGAAGTTAAAGGAATCTTTGTGATTTTCTGTTTGCCCTACATGGATGCATTTTCCTATAACAACATTATTATGACTGGCTTCTGATACTGTAAGAATATTCCAGTATCTTGGCAAGTTTTTTTGGGCTGGCTTAAGCATCTCATCATCATTTAAAACTCTTGAATGGGGAAATAGGATTTACGGGTCAAGAAAATATGTCTTTCTGTAGTATTAAAATGGGGTCCTTCCTGCCTGGATTTTATTGAGCTGTAATTCCACAGGGGATGACTGGGGTCTGGGAAGCACTTTTTACCCTTTCTTGAAAATGTTAGATGTCATTTCTGTTGTTGCTTGTGCTTTTCTTTAGCCACTTCCCACTGTCTTTCTCATTTGATGACCCTCTGTTTTTAGTGGTCTGGGAAAATCACAGGACCTGATATGTTGTAATTGTTTATCAATTCAGCAGCCAGCCGACTCTGTGTGAGATTTCAGAAAAGCTTTCTATTGCTTGAGAGAGGCACATCGTAGTACAAAGATTTTGCCTTCTCTTTTCTTTTTAAAATTTTTTTGGAGGCTTTTAAAACAATCCCAGGTTCTAGACTTCACTGTGGATATTGGGGTTGACAAAAAAAATCAGGTAAATGATTCGCTAGTGTATTTATAAAAATGCCTGCCACATTCATCATGAAAATGAAATGATTGGTGTTCATTTAACAGAAGGTAAACAGATCTTTTGATCAAAAATATGTTATTTACCTCTGTGCTCTTTATCAGAGATGGTTTGTGAAGTTTCATACTTAAAGAGGAAGTATAGTTTTTTATTTTTAATATGAATCATTATGCTGAACAAAATGATTACAATTTCATTGGATTGTTATTTTGATATTTTATCAGGAACTATTCATTTTTACTAATAATACGTTTTGACATCGAATTTAAATTTTGTTTCTTCCTCTTCTAGATAAAGCCTCGAGTATATCAAGGTAAGATTTTAGGCTTTAGTTTTCTTTGTGATATTTTCTCAGTTCTGGTGTTTGATGTGGATTTTAATACAATTGGGAGTAAATACAGTGACTTCTGATGTCCAGTTGACCATTTAACACTTGAAGATGATACTCTTCCTGGGTTGGAGTCTAAGTGACAATGTAGAGGGAGTTGCCATCTATTGAGACAAGAGAACAGGAGGAGGAGCAGATCACGGGAGTAGGGACAATAGGATGAATTTAGTTTTGTGCAGAAATGTTTAGGAAGCAAGGGATGGTATGAGTCTGAAGTTTGGACATTGACATGACCTGTTTCTTGGTGAAATGTAAGATGATAGAACACCATTGAAACCTATCAAGAAGCTTGTGGCCTCGAAGAACCCAGATATTGCCAGGCAAAGTGTGTGTCACAACCATGGGTTATGAGTCTGAAGTGGAGGGAGCCACTCATGCCAGTGGAGAGTGAGGGGAAATGAACATGATGCAAAATAGGAATAAGACATTCTGTACAGGCTTTATAGACAGTGATAATTAAGTGGTTCTGTCTGTTGAGAGTCACAGTGGCTACCTGGTACTTACCTCAACTGCTGGTATTTGTCGCCGTGAATGAGGCAGTGGTGGTGGTGAGAAGAGTGATCAGGATATCAGATCGCTCATTTTGGGTAAATAGAAGATAAGTTTGCACTTTGTAGTCAGGTAAGAGAATTAAATACCTTTGAGAGGAGTCTGGAATTGTGGCCTGTGTTCTGGAGCTTCACATGTGTTCTCCACCTATAATTGGGTGTTTTATGTGCACTGTTTTCCTGTAACAGTGATCAGTAACACTCTCATCTTGGGGCTGAGGAAGCTGGTCTTACAGGGATTGTGAGTTATCCAGGTCCTCTAGCAACTAATGGTAAGGCTGAGATTGTACTCAAGTGTGTTTGATTCCGATGACCTTCTCCTCAAGAGCTTCCCACCGTGGTTCTCATGAAAGGCAATCTGCTGGGCAGCAGAAAGGCATTGGAGGCTTTCAAGTAGCCAGTCAAGTGACATTTAGAAGGACCTCTGTGGGTCATTTTAAAGGGTAGGTAGAAATGGAGAAAACTTGGAAGAAGTCAGGTGTTTTGTATTTTTGTTTCTTTTTCCTTTCGATTTTTGTTTTTTAAAGCAATTGCATTGATCTGTTTATTTTATTTGATAATTGGAAGACAGAATATAAGTACATCGGTTGCTTGCTTGTTTCTCCTCTGGTGATGACAGGGCTCTTGAACTGTTCACATTTTCTAAGGATATTGTTTAATGATGGGATGTTAGGCTAAGACATTTTGTTCTATTTCCTCATCTTTGAAAAAAGATTAAATAGAAATCTCGCTGAAATAGGATCCTTATTTCTGTATTTGTTTCTTACATTTAAAATGCCACTGATGAAAACTGGCTTTCTCAGGGATCGTAGTCATACTAAAAAGTTATTTGCACTCATAGTGCCAGTAATGTGCTTTTGCTGTTGACACATTGGGTAATTCCATTTTATCGGTTTTGGTAATAATCTTAGAAATGGTTTTTATCTCTTTTTAGTTAATTTGCATCAGATTTCTGAGAAAATTAAGAATTACGTGAAGGAAAACTCACACAACTTGTCAAAAAATATCCATTTGTGAACAGAAAGTATAATCATCCTTTAATTTTTATATTCATGGCTTCACCTTGAAGTACTTCCACTTTGTTCTAGTTCACTTATTTTTCTGTCTCTTTCATCCTAGGGTCCCATTTCATTACATTATGTAGCAGTCTAAATTCAAAGCAAGCATCTTATATGTAAGGTTCTGCTTTTTAAAATTTCTTTAAGGACTTATTCACGGGCGATAGGTTTTGCTATCAATATAATTAATATTTTTGAATTCTGAATCCTTTATTACATGTTTGTATAGATCAATGAAGCAAAGAAAGGTGATCAAGAAACCAAAAGGCAAAATAAGATAATCTGTGATGAAAGCATGTGAATTTGAGGTAAAAATCCCTTCTTTTTCCTACATTACACTCTAAAAACAGAAGTAAAAGTAATGAGTAAATATTACTAATCTCTATGTGTTTTGTTGAAGAGTAACATCAAAACACTTGAAGGCACTAACAAAATCATTAATGACATCATTCCACATATTTGGGTTAAGTTGCAATCTGAGAGAGATTGGAACATCAAGAATTGGGACCTAGGGACCGGCTCCGTGGCCGAGTGGTTAAGTTTGTGCGCTCCACAGCGGCAGCCCAGGGTTCGGATCCTGGGCTCGGACATGGCACCGCTCATCAGGCCACGTTGAGGCGGCGTCCCACATCCCACAACTAGAAGGACCTGCAACTAAGATATACAACTGTGTACAGGGGGTTTGGGGAAATAAAGCAGAAAAAAAAAAAAGAAGATTGGCAACAGTTGTCAGCCCAGGTGCCAATCTTAAAAAAAAAAGAAGCAACTCCTCCATTTCCCCAAGTTTAAAAAAAAAAAAAAAAAAGAATTGGGACTTAGTGAGAGTTTCACTACTGTTATTACCATAATTTGACTTTTGAGCCTTTTTGTTCATTGGGTAAATTGAGTAGCCCTGCATTCTTCCATGCTGTTCACTGCTGTTTTAAGTACCAATACCATGATGCTTTTTTTAATTTAAGGACTTAGGAAGAATTTTTTTTTGCAACCCTGGATTAATTTTTTTAACGTCATTCAGCCCTCTTTCCTCTCCAAGAAACACAGAGCTGGGAAATTGTAGGAGAGAGTACTAGAGATTTCTAGCCGCATTGAACAGTCCTATCCCTCTTAAGGCAGAGCACAGAATTTTCAAAGTGAATCTGGTGACATTTACCTTCCACTGAGAAAAGCTGTTCATTTGAGCTGTTTGGCTTCAAGGTTTTAGACCTTCTTTGCTTTTGCCTTGTCCCCCAGTCGAGTGTCCCATTATCTTGAAAGTAGGAAAGTTGGAGTGCCCATGAAATATTTGTGACTCGACTATTCTCTTAATTCCTCATTTCTTTCTGTGTTTGACTTTTCTCCTCAGTTCAAACTGGATCAGCTGCTTTTAATGATACAGGGGCTGATATGGGGTATGTTTTGTTGGCATTTCTTCTTTTAAGCATATCGTCCAGTGTTTCTTTTGAAATCTGGTACTTTTTTTCTTTTAATGATTGGCATCTGAACTAACAACTGTTGCCAATCTTTTTTTTTCCTTCTCCTTCTTCTTCTCCCCAAAGCCCCCCAGCACATAGTTGTATATTCTAGTTGTAGGTCCATCTGGCTGTGCTATGTGGGATGCTGCCTCAGCATGGCCTGACGAGCGGTGCCATGTCTGTGCCCAGGAACTGAACTGGTGAAACCCTGGGCCGCCGAAGCAGAGCACGTGAACTTAACCTCTTGGCCACAGGGCTGGCCCCTAGTACATGTTTTGTTTCTATCCTACATGCAGATAGGAAAGGAAAAAGCTACAGAGAACTTAAAAGGTGATATTTCTATGAGTACTTCAGAAATAAATTACCTGTATTTGTTGCAAGATTTTAATTGTACACCTTAGCTTTGATGAAAAACAAATATGTCTTAGAATATTAAATTTGTATGTTCTCTATTAGGAATTTTTCTACTTGGGATCTAAGTCATTAGTGAGAATGTTTTGCTTTAAGTTCGAATCCCCCTTAATGAATTTCATGTCAGTAAAGCAAAATTGAAGTCTGAAGAACACCATGTACAGAAGGAAAATGCTCAGCTTAAGATCAAGAAGGAGCAGATAACAAAATGTTCCTCCCATAGCTTATATAAATCAGAGAACTAAACATTATTACTTCCTTTTAAATTTTATTTTTAATCGTGGTAAAATACACGTAACATAAAGTTCACCATCAGAACCATTTTGAAATGTACATTTTAGTAATGTTAAGTATATTCACATTGTTGTACAATCATTACTTCTTGACTGTCTTTTCTCAGATCTTTCTTAAAGTCAGGAGATACGAGTGCGGGATTCAAGGCAGAGAACCTCGATGTCTAATAAATGTAATCTGGAAGGTATGTTGCTTGTTGGGAAGAAAACCCCATATAGTAAAAATGAGTTTGCACTGGGAATGTAAAAAGTGGCTTCAGATTCTCTCCTTTCTCCTCTTTCCACTGCAACCAAATTCTTGGGAAGATGTGCACACACACAAAGAAAATTTTTTTATGTTTTACAGAAAGGAAAAAGAAACTAGAAGACAGCTGAGAGGCATTGCGATCTATTAAAGTGGCAAAGTAAGCCGAATTAAAAATGCTAAAGAAGAACATAGGCAGTCTTTTAAAAAATTGTTTTATTGAGGTCATAATGGTTTATAACATTGTGATATTTCAGGTGTACATTATTATTTATCAGTTTCTGTATAGACTGCCTTGTGCTCACCACCAGTAGTCTAATTTTTGTCCATCACCATATATATGTGCCTCTTTACCCCTTTCGCCCACGCCCCCCCCCCCTTCCCCTTCCCCTTCCCCTGTGGTAACCACTAATCTGTTCTCTTTGTTCTTATGTTTATCTTCCACATATGAGTGAAATCATGCAGTGTTTTGTCTTTCTCTGCTTGGCTTATTTCGGTTAACATAATACCAAGTTCCAGCCACATTGTTGTAAATGGGATGATTTTTTCTTTTTTTTGAGGAAGATTAGCCCTGAGCTAACATCTGCCACCAATCCTGCTCTCTTTGCTGAGGAAGACTGGCCCTGAGCTAACATCCATGCCCATCTTCCTGTAGTTTTCATGTGGGACGCCTGCCACAGCATGGCTTGACAAGCAGTGCCATGTCCACACCCGGGATCTGAACTGGTGATCCCTGGGCCACCGAAGTGGGACGTGTGAACTTAACCAGTACGCCACCAGGCCAGCCCTGATTTTGTCTTTTTTATGGCTGAGTAGTATTCCATTGCATATATATACCACATCTTTGTCCATTCATCACTAGTGGGCTCTTGGGTTGCTGCCATGTCTTGGCTATTGTGACTAATGCTGCAATGAATATAGGGGTGCATAAATCTCTTTGAATTGTTGATTTCAAGTTCCTTGGATAAATACCTAGTAGTGGGATAGCTGAATTTCTGATTTTTTGAGAAATCTCTGTCCTGTTTTCCGTAGTGGCTGCACCAGTTTGCATTCCTACCAGCAGTGTATAAGGGTTCCATTTTCTCCACATCCTCTCCGACATTTCTTACTTTTTGTCTTGGTAATCATAGCTACTGTAACAGGTGTAAGGTGATAGTGTAGTTTTGACTTGCATTTCCCTAAGGATTAGTAATGTTGAAGATCTTTTCATGTACCTGTGGCCATTGTATATCTTCTTTGGAAAAATGTCTATTCATATCCTTTTTGATCAGGTTGTTTGTTTTGTTGTTGTTGAGTTGTATGAGTTCTTCATATATTTTGGAAATTAACCCATGTCAGATACATGATTTGCAAATATTTTCTCCCAGTTGGTGGGTTGTATTTTCGTTTTGTTCATGGTTTCCTTTGCCTTGGAGAAGCTTGTTAATCTGATGTAGTCCCATTTTTTTTTTTGTTTCCCATGCCTGAGTAGACACGGTATTCGAAAATATACTAAGACCAATGTCAAAGAGTGTGTTGCCTATATGTTGTTCTAGGTTTTTTATGGTTTCCGGTCTTACCTTCAAGTCTTTAACCCTTTTTGAGTTAATTTTTGTGTATGGTGTAAGATAATGGTCTACTTTCATGCTTTTGCTTGTGGCTGTCCAGTTTTCCCAACACCATTTATTGAAGAGACTCTCCTGTCTCCCTTGTATGGTCTTGGCTCCTTTGTTGAAGATTTGCTGTCCATAGATGTATGGTTTTATTTCTAGGCTTTCAGTTCTGTTCCATTGATCTGTGTGTCTGTTTTTGTGCCAGTACCATGCTGTTTTGATGACTATAGCTTTGTAGTAGATTTTCAAGTCAGGGATTGTGATGCCTCCAGCTTTGTTCTTTTTTCTCATGATTGTGTTCACTATTTCGGGTCTTTTGTTGTTCCATATAAATTTTGGGATTCTTTGTTCTATTTCCATGAAGAATGTCATCGGAATTCCATTTGGGGTTGCACTGAATCTGTAGATTGCTTTAGGTAACATGGACATTTTAACTATGTTTGTTCTTCCAATCCATGTACACGGAATATCTTTCCATTTCTTTATGTCATCTTCGATTTCTTTCAGTAATGTCTAAAAGTTTTCATTGTATGGGTCTTTCACCTCCTTGGTTAAATTTATTTCTAGATACTTTTTTCTTTTTGTTGTGATTGTAAATGGGATTGTATTCTTGAGTTCTCTTTTCTGTTAGTTCTTTGTTAGAGTATAGAAATGCAACTGATTTTTGTAAGTTGATTTTGTACCCGGCAACTTTGCTGCTGTTGTTGATTATTTCTAATAGTTTTTTGATGGATTCTTTAGGGTTTACTCTGTATAGAATCATGTAATGTGTAAACAGCAGGAGTTTCACTTCTTCCTTGCCAATTTAGATATCTTTTATTTCTTTTTCTTGCCTAATTGCTCTGGCCAAAACCCCCACTACTGTGTTGAATAAGAGTAGCAAGAGTGGGCATCCTTGTCTTGTTTGTGTTCTCAGAGGGGTGGCTTTCAGTGTTTCCCCTTGAGTATGATATTGGCTGTGGATTTGTCATGCATGGCTTTTATTATGTTGAGGTAGTTTCCTTCTATACCCATGTTATTGCAAGTTTTCATCATAAATGGATGCTGCATTGTGTCAAATGCTTTCTCTGCACCTATTGAGATGATCATGTGGTTTTTAGTCGTCATTTTGTTAATGTGGTATATCACATTGATTAATTTTCGAGTGTTGAACCGTCCCTGTGTCCTTGGTATAACTCCCACTTGATCGTGGTGTATGATCTTTTTAATGTATTGTTGTACTTGTTTTGCCAGTATTTGTTGAGGATTTTTGCATTTGTATTCATCTGCGATATTGGCCTGTAATTTTCCTTCTTTGTGTTGTCTTTGTCTGGCTTTGGGATCAGGGTACTGTTGGCCTCATAGAATGAATTAGGAAATGTCTGTCTTTGTCAGTTTTTTGGAGTAGTTGAGAAGGATAGGTATTAAATCTTCTTTGAATGTTTGGTAGAATTCTCCAGAGAAGTCATCTGGTCCTATACGTTTATTTTTGGGGAGGTTTTTGATTGCTGTTTCAGTCTCTTTTCTTGTGATTGATCTATTCGGATTCTCTATTTCTTCTTGATTCAGTTTTGGGAGGTTGTATGACTCTAAGAGTTTATCCATTTCTTCTAGGTTATCCAATTTGTTGGCATGTGGTTTTTCATAGTATTCCCTTATAATCCTTTGTATTTCTGTGGTATCTGTTGTAATTTCTTCTCTTTCATTACTAATTTTATTTATTTGAGACTTTTTTCCTGGTGAGTCTGGCTAAAGGTTTGTCAATTTTGTTTATCTTCTCAAAGAACCAGCTCTTAGTTTCATTGAGCCTTTCTGCTGTGTTTGTTTTGTTTCTGTTTTCATTAATTTCTGCTCTAATTTTTATTATTTCCCTCCTTTTGCTGACTTTGGGCTTTGTTCTTATTTTTCTAGTTCTGTTAGGTCTACTTTAAGATTACTTATTTGGAACATAGGCATTCTTGAGGAAATCTGTGGACAAAAATAGATTATCACAGAAGAGTAAGATATTTATATGTTGATTGGTACAAATACTGTTGTGTTAGTGAAGGTGTGGAACAATGTAGATAATTATAATTATTTTAGAATATTTACCACCATATTTTTGCCATATTCATTCTACAGAGAAATGTGTTTCTCCTTTCTGCCTTGATTTTGTAATCTGCATCTTGCTTTCCTTTCTCACTGATTATCAGAGATTCTTATTTGTAATTAATTTAAGATTGGAGGGAGTACTGGCACCAGCTTTAATCACTTCATTGTCTGGAACCCACTGGGTTTATTTACATTGTACTCTAGATTTCAGTCCCATAATATTGTTTTGACCTGCCTTATGTCTGTCATTTCTTATTAAATTCTAGACATTGGGTAGAAAATATTTAGAGAAAAATTGAGGCCTCGTATGATGGTATCTTGCTGCAGAAAAGATGGGAGTTTACATCTGGCGGGTGATCAGGGACGCCAGCAGTACTGAATCCTATTCATCCAGTTAGCAACTCAGACCATTCACTGAAGGCTCAATCCCTCCTAAGGCCAGTGTGTTTTCTGTCCACCTTTATTCTCAGTCTGTAATCTCCTGGATTCCATCTAAGGCCTGCAGGTTTTTCTAGGGATGACCTTCATTTAGTGACTGTGAACTCCAGTTGTTTTACTTCTGTGCCCGTGGATGTGTGCAAATGCTGCATAGCTTCTTTGCATCTCAGTAGTCTCCTCTGGAATTACTTGATGAATTGCTAGATGAAAGTGGTCCCAAATGCCAGGCTGACCTTAATCCTGGGCTTCCTTCTTCTCCATCTTATCCTCATGTTTCTTTACTGGATTGGTAGCAATTTGGTGCATTCTATCATGAATTTCATATTTTGGCCAATGTTTCCTATTGTTCTCAAGGGGAAATGAGGGACTTCAGACCCACTCATCCATGTTCAAAAGGGAAACTTTTCTTTTATTCCCTCAAGAGTCAGGTTTGTGTTATCCCTTCCCAAGCCCAGGGTTGAGATTGCTATGTCCTTACTTGCATCTTGTTTACATTAAACCATGAGATATTTTAGGGTGGGGATAGTGCCCTCCAGTCCCACTGTATCCTCAGTACCTTACAATGCACCCACTACATTCCAATCAGTCCAGAAAGCATTTGCTGAAAGAATGCTGAGTGGAGTCACGTGGAAGGAAGTGAGTGGAGTCATGTGGAGGGAAGTGGGTGGTCAGTGGAAGGAAGTGGTGAAGTCACATGGATTAGTAGGGTTAGTGTTATGGTAGTAAAAGGAAAGAAGGGACTTGAAGATTATCCTAGCCAATTATTGGTTGAGCATAACATCTCATTTGTTGAGATGGGGAAGATGGGGACAGGTTTGGGGTTTGATCTCTTTCTTAATGGGCCAACATACAGCATAAGCAAATCAATCCACCTCATTTGAAAGTTTTAGCCACTCTTGGAACCCCAACCTGGTGGAGGTGGTGTGCATAGTGGTTAAATGCAGTCTCTGAAGTGAGATTGCCTAGGATTATCTCTCAAGGGCTTTCTAGCTGTGTGATCCTGACTGGTTGCTTAACCTCTCTTTGCCTCACTTTCCTCATCTGTAAAATGGGGATAATGAAACCTAGCTCCCAGTGATGTTGTGAGAACTAGATGAATGCCCAGCCTATTGTAAATACTCATCAAATGTGGCTATTATGGCTTCCCTTGTAGTTGTGTCTGAATTCCAGGCCAAACAGCTCTTCTAATGCAGCACCAACCAGGAAAAAGTGGGAATGAATAAAACAGGGCTGACGACACTCAGGGGCTTTTATTATCCAGCCCCCACACACCCACCACAATGATATATAATTTTATTGGAGTAGCTCCACTTAGAAAATGATACCAGGACCTGGAAAATGGGCACTTTTCCCCCGGCTTTGGAAAAGCTACAGTTCTTCCTTGACTCTTGGTTTCTTCTCTTGTCTTGGAGGTCCTTTTGGCTTAGCCACCCTTTCCTCCTTCTGAGCTGTTTCCTTCTGTTCAGCTGGCTCTTCCAGCTTGGTCCCATTCTCCAGCTCAGGCAGCTTCTGCTCAGGTAACTCTTTCTGCATAAAAGGTACCACTTCTTCCTCAGCTAATACCTCCTCTTCTATCACTTCACTTTGTTCAATAGACCATAGCTATTCAAGAAAAGAAGGGAGGGAGGAAAGGAAGAAGGAAGATAAAGAGGCAAGAAATATGTGATAATTGTGATTATAATTGCCAAGGCCACTTTTTCTGGAAGTGCCCAGAGAGAGGCACCTGAGTGATCCTCTTAGATGCAAAGGTTCATTTGGCTTGGTTGGGGACATTCTCAACTGTGATTTTGCCCCTCCAATAACAGGGCCTTTGGGGAACCAGCCTTCCTCCACTCTTAAGTCCACAGATATGGCTGCCCCCATGCCTGGCTCCACGGCTGAGCATGTGACCCAGGCCTCGCTAATGAGATCCCTGTCCAGGACATTTGCTAGGACTACTAAGAAGTAGGTGCTTTCTCTCTAAGCTGGGAAGATAGTACTTTAGAGCTGTTGGTCAATCTTTGACCCTCCATGGGGAAGTGACTGCTTGGGAAAGAAGCCAACATAGAGGAAAACAGAGATGGGGAGACAGAAAATGAATTTCAGCTGGATCCACTCATGCCTAATGTTCTGCCAGTTATATAGGATAAATTCCCGTTGTTGCTTAAGCCACAGAGTTGTGATTCTGACATTGGCAACTGAAGGGTCCTAACTAATACAGATGGCAACTTCCAGCAGATGGCCTCACTAAGGCATGAACAGGATTAGTAGAGAATGGGGATTGTCATTCCATCCATCAGGAGAATAATACCACAGGGCAGTATGCCATCAAGACATCTGGTTACCAACTCAGGAACAGTGGACCCAGGGAAGCAGCCTTGGGAGCTGTGTGAGACCTCAGAGACTTTGCCCCTCCAAGTGTTTCTGAAGTCTGCCATTGCTGCTTCCTTGTAGAACATGCCTTTGAAATAAAATCATCCAAACTGGATGGTTGCTCAGCCATCTTCAGGTATCTCCAGAGTGCACAAGAATAATGGAATTCTTGGCACGCTCTTTCCTAGTCCATTGAGGTCTCGATGATTCTGTGTGGGAAAGAATAACCCAGGGTGCTGCTGTTTGCCTTACCTCATCTTCATCCTCAATCCTGGTCTTCCTTTGACTTTCCAGGAAGTCTGAAAAGCCCTTCATGGTGTGTTCTCCCTTATACCGTACAGCCTAGGAAGGAAACAGAACAGGGTCAAAATGGTAGCCTCTTCCTGCAGGGATTCCTTCATAGGTAAATCCAGAGTCCCATTCCATTCCTAACCACCTGAGTACGGTGGGCAGGTTGCTTAACATCTCTGAGCCTCCATTACCATGGCTCCAAGAGAAGGATAATAAAAATTCCTCCATCCACAGTGATTGGGTCAGGGACTAGCAACTGACCTAAGTTGGACCCCATCTGAGTCTTGAGACTTTTGTGGAAGCTAAAGGAAAACACTCTTTAACATGAACATGAGAGGGTCATTGGAGCTGAGAACGAATCTGATTTAATAGAAGGCAGAGCTGCAGATAGGGAGAAGCTGAGTCTGCGCTAATGACACAACAACATTTCCAGTTATGTGAGTCCCAAGAGCCCCTCACTTGTTGAGAGTCGGTGGGGAAGAGCCTGAAGAAGGGGTACCGGTCCAGGTTCATCAGCTGAATATCATTTGCCGTGATGTCGATCTTGGCGATGGTGACTGTGGAGTGGTTTTGATATTTTCTGCCCAACTCCTCCAACATTGGGAATAGCGCCCTGCACTTTTCAGACCAGGGTGCATCTGGAAGAGAGGGGCCATTGCGCAGGCTCATACTAATGAGGACTCTGAAAGCCAACACTGGTCCATAAACACCATCACTGTGTTCTACTAACGGTTCTGCTGCTTTGCAAATTGCATTCCTTCTCTGTTTTAATGGTATATTAGATTATTTTACATTTCAGACATAGTACCTGATCGTTATTAAATAAGTCAAAAAAATATTAACCTACTCTCCTTTCACCCAGATGCTAACTCTTTTAGCATGTTGGGACATTTTCTTCTATTCTTTGTTTTTCCTTTAACATAGCTTTCCACTCCAGATGAAGAAGAAAACCAGGAAAATATCTATGCTAGTTGCTTCCTCATGTTCTGCCAGTAAGTGAGTGTGTGTGCGTGTGTGTGTGAGTGAGTGTGAGAGGGAGAGAGCATGCAAGAGTTTTCCAACAGAGCTTAAACTTGTAGCCGAAGATCACCCAGTGAGTTAAGCAGAGGAAGGGGGATTTGAAGACAGGTTGCTTTGACTTGTGAACATTATACCACACTGCCTTTCAGTCTGGTGGAGAGAATGCACCCAAGAAGTGAACAGGAGGTTGTGACAGGTACCACTATGCCCGGAAAGGGGACACTGGACTTCCTTGTGGGATAGTTCCTTGAGCTGTGATTTTTGCCCAGGCACCCAGCCCTCTGGAGAGAAATCAGGGATCAGCTCCAACACGGAAGGGAAATTGAAACTTGTCTGCTGGTCGTTCCATTAGTTTCTGGCTGTGCAGGAGGAGTGGCCTCAGAGGCCCTGGACACTCCACATTTGGATGATCACCCCTCCATTTACAAACCAAGTGCCTCCAGGACCACCTGCTCTGCCAGCAGCGGCCCCGCAGCTTCCCTGGAGCCCAATGGGCCCTGAGTTGGAGCAGGAGGGAGCATAATGGCTGCAGTCCCAGGGGGCCAATGTGACAGTCCTGCTTCCAAGAAAATGATGCTGTTTTTACCTTTCACCAGAAACAAATGGGCACTCGCAGAACTCCAGGTGTCAGGTAAGTACAGAAAGGGCCACCGCAGCCTCTCATTTAAAGGCAACAGATCATGGTTAGTTAGCCACGCAGACCTTAAACACTGCACCCTGTGGATGAGAGTCTATTTCAGTGAGATTTAAAAGGTCTGCATGATGCAATCCAGCCCTCCTTTCACCCTCCATGAAGTGATGGGATCAGAGCTTGAATTGAACTTTTTGCCTTGCAGCTTATTTACCGTGTGGCCTGAGGTAAGGCAGTTAACCTCTGTAAGGCTGGGTTCCCTGATCTGTATTGTGGAGCAATTCGCTGGCCCTTCCTAAGAGGCTTGTTTTGAGGAGGCAATGAGAGCAGGTGTGTAAACCGCAAGCTCATGTCTGGCTCATGGTACGTGCTCAATAAATGGTAACTGTGTGTTAAATAAAAGAGATGTCTGAAGCAGCTTCATTGTCACCCTTCTCTGCGTCTCAGGCTGGGAGACAGGGTCCCTGGCTTTGGCTCTCACATGCAAATCAGAAACTGGGGAAGGGGCCAGAGTCCTTAGGTGAGCACTGGAAATAATTATAACAATAGGAATAAGAATAGCAATGATAGCTGTCATTTATCAAGTGCTTACAACATGCCAGACACTGTGCTAAGTCCTTTACTTGCATGATTCGGGTCCCCCGCTTGGCCACACCAGCTCAGGTAGGTTAAATACAGCACATTTGGTAAGTCACATAAAGCCAGAAGCAGAGGGATTCAGTCCAGCCGTTACCAGCATACGCACTGGAGTCAGGCTGCTTAGGTTTCAATGCCAGTTCCAGGACTTACTAGCTGCGTGACTTTGGAAAAGTTTCTTCTCCTCCCTGGGACTCTGTTTAGTCATCTGTAAAGTGGGAACAACAATAGTAGCTACTTTCAAAAGTATGTTGTGAGGATTAAATGAGATAACGTAGAGAATGGCTCAGCACAAGGCCTGGTGTACCATGGCATTCAGTCAGTGTTAGCCATCAGCTTTATTATTGTTATAGTCACAGGCCTGGATTAAGTGGAAGGTATTTTACCCATTCCAAGAATTCGATTTTTGAGGAGCGTTGCACTGTAGCTGATTACCATCTTGATCCAAACTCTTTGGATGTCTGAAGACCATTTGTGGCATGGTGCTTTGATAGATTTTGGAGATTTGGGTGCCCAAGAATTCAGGAACCACGCTTGTAAAGTAATGTCAGGGCTATTGCCTCCCGTGGCCTCTGTGGAAGTACTTACAGAACATCACAAATACATCCCTTTCCTTGGTGATGACATTGAAGTTCTTCCCAACAAGCTGCTTAACCGTCCCCTGGTCCCAGTATTTTGGAATCTCTTCACTGGATTGATGGTTCTAGGAAGGAAATTTGAGAGGTCTGAGAGTCTCTGGAAAGGGGTTGGCAGTTGGGGCTCCCAGTCCTGACTGGGAAGAATGGAAAATTTTCTCTTCTTCTTACAAGAGACTTGGAAAGAGCTTGAAATGCTGAGACAGATCACGACTTGATGTCAAGCCTGGATTGTCCAGGGTCAGTTAGGATCAGAGGACTGACGAGGAGGCAGGGCTCCAAACTGGGACAGGTTCTAGCATTTTAAAATACGCTATTCTTGGAATTCTTAGATGAGAGTGGGGTTCATGTCTTTAACATCTTAGTTTGTTCCGCCCATAAAAAATTAGCTGTCCTCAATTTTCAGAGCATCAAAACCAAGATCATTTACATGACCTTTAAGATCTTTATCACACTTTGGTTCTTGCCAACCTCTCTAAACTCGTCACCATCCCTTGCGTTCTTTAGCTGTACTGGTCTTCTGTACCCCTTTGTGCTGTTCCTCTGCCTGGAGGGCCTCCCCACCTCGTTCCTACATTCCCTTCTGCATCTGGTTAACTCAGATTTACCATTTAGAATGACCTCAAGGTAGGGCTTCCCTGACTCTCATCCAGACGAGGTCAGATCCTGCTCCCATACGTTCTCACAACACCTGGTGCTTGCATCTCTTATTCAGGTGTGTCATTTATACTTATTTTTCTGGTTATTTGATTAATGTGTCTTTACCACACTAGACAGAATATCACAAGGGACTTTTCTTCCCTTATCATTGAGTATCCACTGCCTGGTACATAGTAGGACCTCGATAAATATTTTGTGAATGAATGAGTGAAAGAATGAACCAAGCTCTTGCTTCTCTTTGAATGAAGTGGTATAAATTTCAGAACCTATATTTTTCTCTGCAACCATTGCTTCCTGACTATCTCTTGAATCCACACCCCTCTCTCTGTCTGCACTGCTACTACCCTAGTCCAGGAAGCCTTCCTCTCTCATCTAGATCACTGGAATAGCCTCCTAGTGTTCTCTCTGCATTGTCTCCTAATCCTCTGCTTGCCTTTGTTCTCCTACAGGCAGAATTCTGCCTTCACTGTGCGCATGTAGTTTCCCATTGCTTTTAGGATACCAAATCCTTAATATACGTACAAGTCCTTGCTGTCAGGTCTGCTCAGCTCACCAGCCTTACTTCTGACGTTGCCCTCCCTCATTCCTGCCCCAGCCTCTGGAAAGGACTTGAAGATTCTTTTCAAGGGGGCATAAAGGGGAGTGGGGGCTGGGCATGGAAGATGGGAAATGGTGAACATGATGGAGAATTAGGAATGGGCCACATCAGGCAGATCTCATCACTCATGTGAAGGATACTCATCTTTATTGTAAGAGCACAAGAGCACCTGTTGGTCGTGGAGATGGAGACGGACACCTTCTGAGGTATAACTGGAGGGAAGAGAGAGGATGGGTAGAGCTCCAGGTACATTTGTAGATGGGGGATGGAAAGTGAAGGGTCCCCTGTGTGAAGCCTTCTATTTTATTAGTGACACACGAGTCAAGTGCTCAGGTGAGACTGAAAGTAGGAATGGAGTATGAAGAGAAATAGATTCAGAGATTAAGAGAATGAACACACTAAGAGAAACAAAGAGATGTTAGGACATTTCTAAGTGCCGATGGGAGGTTTGGTTTGTGATTCCTTGAAGCCAGCCTGCCTCACAGTGATGTTCTTTTTCTCCAGGATGGGCCTGGAAGCAGCAGTGACGAGATTTTCACATATTTAGGTATACAGGGTAACTATTCAGGTTCAAAACTGATTCGGCTTGAAGTAAAAAAGCCTGACTTGTGGCCTATCAAATATACATTGTACATCTGCTTTAACCATTAAAAAATGCACTCTCTTAGGATAAGAATGCACACTTCCCCTCCTACACCCAATTGGTAACATGCTATTGGTAACACCCTATTGGTAATGCCCTATTGGTAACTCCCTGATTAGTCCCTTTCCTAACATCAGGGTCATGTTGACCTGCTAATTTGCAACTAAATACTTCTTTGAAACTTTGATGAAAATGTATTCTGGGTGTATTTTTTGTTCTAAAAAGATATGAGACCATACTGAAAACCATGCTTCTCCAGAATGCGTTCTAAGGCCTTCCCAGGTTATAATCCCCACTGTGACTCAGGTAAAACACACCTTATTTTTCTTATCTATAGATTGGTTATTTTCATTGAGAGTAGGGAAAGTAAGTGGGTTCAACGGGGTTGTGATTTTGTCTGGTAAATACTACAGGATGTTGAGGAGGTAGAAAGTGGAGGGGATACGGGAGCTAAGGGGGTCATGACCAGAGAGATGAGCCATGGAATCCAAGTTCACAAAGGAGGGCACTAAAAAGATTGTGGAATGGGATCAGAAGGTTGGAGGCCATGAAAAGTGTAAGGAATTGTAGCCATGTGACAACTAGAGAAGGGATCTAAGAGGATGGAAAGCTTGAAACCAGGCTTTCAGAGGGGCTGCCATCTCTAGAGTGTGGCCATGAGAGCGAGTGGCTGAGATGGCATGGACATACCAATTGTGGGAGAAAAGACCAGGGTTTTGGATATTGACATTACTGGAAATGATGGCAGAGTATGGAAGAAGGGCAAGTGAGGAGCTGAAGTCCTCAGAGGCTGAGGGAGGTGACCAGAGAACAGCAACAGGAGGCAGGATCAGGTGATCAAAAGTCCAAAGGCATGGGCTCCCAAGGGTCTGGAGTTGTTGAAGGTAGGAGGAGGACAAATGGTTTGGAAGCAGAGTGGAGGAGACCAGCCTCACCACTTGGCCTGTGATAATGTGCATCAGAGAAACAACAGCTTTCACTTGATAAGGCTGCAGGGGAGGCAGTGTGTGGGAGAGCAGACAGAAGGTAATGGGTGTCCTCAGAGGTAAGGTTCTGGTACATTCTGGTTTGTCCCGAGAGTCCCAATTTATTCCTGGTGTTCCAGAAATACTTTTTAAAAATACCCCATTACTCTCAAAAGTGTCCCCATTTAGAAAGTAAAAAGTCTAGTCACCTAAATTGGCAGAGTGGTTGAGGATACAGCACTTCCTCAATAAACAGCAGGTGATGGTGTGTTAGGTAGCCATCATTTTGCAGCCTCTCTTCCCTTTTAGCAAAATTGGCTCCCTTCTAATCCCTCAAAGAAAAGTTCCCTAAAGCCTTTGAGGTTAAATCCCGATTGCTGAATACATTCCACCCCAACTACTCCCCGAAGCAAGCATCTTCCCTTGGGCCAAGTGAATCTTTCACATTAGAGTCTGAAAGGAGAGTAAGAGCCTCCTTTTGGAGGATGTTAGCACTGGGAGCGCCTGCTTTTCAATTGGAAATTCCTGCAGAGGAAATGCCTTTACTCTAAGAATAAAGAATTAATGGTGGAATTATAGAGTCAAGACAGGTCAAAAGTTGAATAGATTTGAGGTGGGAGATGGAGGTATTTCCCCACATTGAACCATGAGGTTGACCTTTATCCTGCCTCCCCATTCAGATAACTAAAGCCAGCAGAATGACCAAAAAGAGATAATTCTGAGATTCTGGATAAACCTTGTCTAAGAACAAACTTACCTTGGCACTTTTATTCAGGAAGCTGCCGCTGAATTTCTTGAAGTTTTTGTAGTTTATCTCCTTGGAAGGCATTTTGTACCTCACTTCAGAGCTTAAGTTTAAGATCTGGACAGATGGGATACTGACCTCTGTGATCCGGAAGTGTTTGAAGACATGTCTGTTTGTGGGTTCATCTGCATCCACAAGGATGAAAAGGATCTGCCAAATCAAGTGAAACCTGTCTCTCTCTGGATTTGAGGCCATGAAAAAGGTAAGGAATTGGAATTGGGTAAGGAATCCCTTACCAAGGGTGAGAAAGTGTTGGGAAGTTGTAGGAGGGGACTAATGGAATGCAAGTAGCAGGGTCTATGGAGTGCGTCTGAAAGACTTGACAAAGGCTCCCTTCCATCAGGCAAGTGCGGCCCTGTTCCCCATTGCAGACACGGGCATTGGCCATCAGCCTGGTGTCGCCATCCTTGTGCAGGGCACCAGCCACACAACTGTAGCAAGTCAGGAGGTCCTGAGCTTTCATCTCTCAGTTCCTTGAGCAAAACAGTAAGTTCCGCTGTCTGTGCCTCAGTTTCCTTATCTGTAAAGTGGTAATTATAGTAGTACTCACCTTATAGGGTTGCTAAGAATTAAGCAGGATGATATATGTAAAAGCTTAGTTCAGTGACTGAGAGGTAGAAAATGTTCAATACATGTCAGTTCATCATTATTCTAAATTATTCTTCTACCAAGGAAATTCGTGACTTCATTCACTCTTTCATTCAATAGATATTTGTGGAGTGCCTACCAGGCATTTTGCTAAGTGCTGGGGGTACAGTGCTGCCCAAGACAGACAAAATCTTGCCCTCATGAAGCTTATGTTCTCGTGGAGAAGACAGACAAAAACGTGTAAACAAATTAATAAATTCAGATAGCGAAGCGTGCCAACTAGACCATAAAACAGGGCACTGTGATAGAGTGACTGCACAGACGGGATGAGGTAGGGGCTCAGTATTAGATAGGAAGGTCAGGAGGAGTATCTGAGGAGGTGACATTTTAGCTGGGACCTAGGAGATGAGTAACAAATCAGGGGAACATTGATTTAGGCAGTGGAAACTGTGAGTGCAAAGGCCTACGGAGTGTTGAGAGGGAGTTTAGAGTGTTCTAGAATAGAAAGGAAAGGCCCATGTGGCTTCAGCACCATGAAGGAGAGAGTCATGGGAGACAAAGTCAGAGATGTGTCAGAGATGATGTCAGAACTCCAGTACAGAGCTTGGAGCACAGTTTTTGTCTGAACGAGACATGAGGCCACTGAAGAATAGTAAGCCAGAGAGTGACACGATAATTTTTAAAAGATTATTCTGGTTGCAGAGAAGAAACAAGAGTGGGAGCAGGGAGACCAGTTAGAGACTGCAGCAGACACCTGGCATCAGACACTCTCAAGTCATTCACCAATCAAAATATGAAGGGGCCTACTATGTGCCAAACACTCTTCTATGGGGTAGGGAGACTGAAAAACAAAGCAGACCTTGTATACTTTCAACAAATGTTGGCTAGAGGTAAACAAGGTAAGATATGGGGGGTATGGCCTACTGGAATAATATTCATCCAGCTCTTTGTCTTTGGCTCTAAAATGGATCCCAATCAATAAATAGCATGTTGGAACTTGCTAATGGAGGTAAAGGCAATTTAGAACCTCATCTCACAGTATGTGCCAAAATGATTTCTTTAACTTTTTCAATGATCCACTGCTTGTTCAATAGCATATTTTTGAGTCTCCACATCTTTGTCCCTTTCTCAGCTTTTTTCTTGTAATTAATTTCTAGATTTATAGCATTATGATCGGAGAAGATGCGTGTTATTATTTCAATTTTTTTAAATTTATGGAGGCTTGCCTTGTTTCCCAACATATGGTCTATGCTTGAGAATGTTCCGTGTTCAATTGAGAAGAATGTGTAATTTGCTGTTTTTAGATGGAGTGTTCTATATATGTCTATTAAGTCCAACTGTTTTAGCTTTTCATTTAATTCCATCGTTTCCTTGTTGATTTTCTGTCGGGATGATCTTCCAATGATGTGAGTGGGGTGTTGAGGTCCCCTACTATTATTGTGTCATTTTTGATATCTTCTTTTAGGTTTGTTAATAGTTGCTTTATGAACTTTGTTGCTCCTGTGTTGGGTGCATAGATATTTATAAGTGTTATTTCTTCTTGATGTAGTGTCCCTTTGATCATTATATATTGACCCTCTGTCTTTCTTTACCTGCCTTATCTTGAAATCTACTTTGTCTGATATAAGTATTGCGACACCTGCTTTCTTTTGTTTGCCATTAGCTTGGATTATCATCTTCCTCTGCTTCACTCTGAGCCTGTGTTTGTCGTTGGAGCTGAGTTGTGTTTCCTGGAGGCAACAGATTGTTGGATCTTGTTCTTTAATCCATCTTGCCACTCTGTGTCTTTTTACTGGAGAGTTCAATCCGTTTACATTGAGGGTGATTATTGATGCCTGAGGCCTTAATGCTGTCATTATGTCACTCGTTTTCTGGTTTTCCTGCATTACCTTTGTTTCTTGTCCTGTGTGTTTTGGACTACCCATTGACATCACATTCTTAATTCCTTACTTATTTTTTGTGTCTCTGTTCTGTTTTTAAGTTGAGTGACTACCCTGAAGTTTGTATTCAGAATCTCATGTATAACATAGTCCATTTTCTGGTGGTCTCTTATTTCCTTAGCTTAAACTGATTCAGTCCCTTTCCTCCTAAGTTGTTACTGTCATCTCTTATTCCAACTTGTGTTGTGAGTTTGTGGTTAAAGTGATAAGATTGTTTTTGTTGTTTTCCTTCCCTTTATCCTATTGCTATAGTTGTATATTTGCTATCCTATTCTGATTCTATTTGTCTCCTTACTCTGTGTTTTGTGACCCCCTTCTCCCTTTTGTCCTTTTTTCAGGTATGAGGGCCTTCTTGAGGATTTCTTTTAGGCAGGAGGTCTTGTGGCTATGAAGTCCCTTAGCTTTTGTTTGTCTGGGAGAGATTTAATTTCTCACTCATATCTGAAGGATATTTTTGCTGGATAGAGTATTATTGGCTGAAGATTGTTATCTTTTAAAGTTTTGAATATGTCATTCCAGTCTCTCCTAGCTTGTAAGGTTTCTGCAGAGAAATCCGTTGAAAGTCTGATAGGGGTTCCTTTGTACATTATTTTCTTCTGCCTTGCTGCTGAGTAATCTTTCTTTGTCATTCACTTTTGCCAGTTTGACTACTATATGCCTTGCAGTAGGTCTTTTTGCATTGACATATCTAGGAGACCTGAAAACTTCCTCCACACACATTTCTCATTCTCTAGATTTGGGAAGTTCTCTGCTATTATTCCTGTGAGCCCACTTTCTGCTCCATTCTCCTATTTGTTGCCCTTGGGGATACTAATTATTTTTATGTTGCATTTCCTCATTGAGTCAGCTATTTCTCAGAGGTTTTCTTCATTCCTTTTTATTCTTAATTCTCTCTTTTCCTCTGTCTGGAGCCATTCAACCTGTCTATCTTCGATTATGCTGATTTGCTCCTCTGATGTCCACACGGGCATTCAGGGATTCTATATGATGTTTTATTTCTTCTGTTGTATTTTTCATCTCTAGTGTTTCTGATTGATTCTTCTTTATAGTTTCAACCTCTTTTGTCAAGTAACTCCAGAACTCGTTGACTTGTTTGTCTATATTTTCCTTTACCTCATTGAGTTCTTTGATGATAGCTATTCTGAATTCATTGTCGCTTAGTTTACTTATTTCTGAGTCCTCAGAGCATAATTCTGGGTGCTTGTTTTCCCTCTGGTCTGGGGTTTTGATGAATTGATGGATGCTGGAAGGAGGACGAGTCTTCCCCATGGTGATATTATTCAGTTGCCGTTACAGCCTGTCGCCACTAGATGGGGGTGCGTATTGTGCGTAAGAGCTGCATATTGTGAGCCCTCTGCCTTCAGCCAAGATGATGGTGCACAGCGCGGGTTGGGGGAGGAGGGGCACTTTCTCTTGCGGGTAGACCCAATTTCCGATCAGCTCTCCCTATCTGGTCTCCTGGGGTCTTGACTTGATGAACTCACCCCACATGAAAGCTTTCCCCCTGTTAGAGGGCTTCCATCTGGGCTGCGTCACTGTTGGAGTCCTGGATGATCCTGTGGATGTGCGGCCCCTCCCCCACTCCTTCCCTCACCGAACCTCCCGCTGCAGTGATCCCAGTCTTTAGGGGGGCAGCGAAGATCTCTCTTACCCTGTTCCAGCTCCTCCGAGGGGGGCTCCAGCCTCTCCACCCTCCGTTTTTTGGCTGCTGTGGGTCTCTGAGGATTCCTGTGCTATTAGGATGTTTTTTGTTGGAATATGGTTGCTCCTTTTTGTGGTATGTTGGAGGGGAGAGAGTCCCAGGCAAGCTCACTCAGCCATGACACTGACCACAATGTGTGCCAAAATGAATTCTGCCTAGATGAAAGGAGTTAAAAAAAATATAATCTAGAAGAAAATATGGTTGAATATTGACTATTATAATGTGGGAGAAATATAGAGAAAGCAATCATATTGTGATCATTTTAATTATATCAAGAATCTTAAAGTTTAAAATTGAATAAACCAGGAAATATATTCACCAGAAATATTTCTGTAATTGGAACAACTCTCCTGGAGAACAATGCAGTGGGCTGTAGCATGAACATTAAACATGTTTATGCCCTGTTGGCTTTACTCTGTGCTTATTTTGGGTTTCAACATTTTTAATTGTTTCATTTGATGTTCAGAATAATTTTCTTCAAAATAAAAAAATCTGCCATTACCATACTTCTTATAAAAATAAAGAGAAAAATGAAGTAAATAGCCCCCATAGTCCAGGTGGTATAACTACATAAATTTGGGCATAGTGCTTAGGAAAAGCAGATTTGTTTCTAATGATAATGATACCAATAAGAAGAAGCACTGTTTATTATACACATTCTCATTGCTTTACATATGGCACCTCCAATTCTACCACAGCTCTGCGTTTGACACATGAAGTGATTGAGACTGAGAGGTTAAGAAACTCACCTAAGACCAAATTGCTTGTAAGAGGAGAGTTTGAACCCAGGTCTGTGTGATGTTAAAGCCCAGAATCTCGGCAATTACTTGTCAGATCATCGTGCCATGTCACACCATCAGGCTTTTCATTTTCCCTGACCTCAAGGAGGAGTGGTCTTTTGTCCCTCTTATCTCCAGGCCAAATGCTGCCCACAATGCAGTCACCCACACTTATTCCATCAAAAAAGCAGCTGAATCATCATGTTCCCATAGTAGACTTATCAAAAAGATGAAAGAAGAAGGAGCATGCGTTTGACAAGAAAGGAAGAGATACTGGACAGGAAGAAGGGAGGAAGTTGGTTTGAAAGTAAACAGTAAATAATATGTAGCATCTATATTGAAATCAGGAAATTTGTATGCAAATGCAAATCCTTCCTGGCTTAATTTATAATCAGCAGGGCAGGTGAATGGCGTCAGGGTGTACAGATCTTGGATTCCCAACTAATTCCCCAAAAGAGCAAAGGCACCTTCCACAAACCTTGTTTTGGAATTCTTTCAATGCTGCATTATCATACCAAATGACTTGGAGATGAAGAGCAGCATGTGATTCAGGATATTCAAATAATAAATCAGATCCTTATTCTGAAATTACAAGGAAAAGAGATCATTCTATGCACAGCTCTCCCAGCACCCCTTCTCCTAGGGAACCTTTGCTCACTGACCTCAGTGTTGTATTCAACAACAAAATTTGTGAGGTGCTGTTTTGTGACTTGACTGAGGACTTGTTTGTTAGTAGTGTCATAAATAAGCTCCTGGCATTTCACAATTTTTTCCCTTGGACAAAAGAAGAAAAACATTGGAGGGCTGTAGCTTCCACGATGTAGGCACTTAAGTGTAATTCATAATCTAGGTTCTTAATAAATATGGATGGCTGGGCAGATTAGCTTGTGGGTGGAATATGGGAAGGTGGCAGCCATGAAAATCTCCAGTCTACAGAGAGTATAATTAACTGACAGCCCCAGCTACCTTGCTCTGCAAATCCATCCAAGTATTTGTGCTGATGCTAAGCAGTTTCTCACATACTGCTCCTAACAAATAAGCAAATGTGTCAGGGATTCTATTTCTGGGAGATGCAGGACTTCTCTGATAATTGAGTTCGACAAACTTTCTAAGAACTCCACTGCTGTCAAGGACTCTTTCACCTAACCTTCTTTCCTTCTAAAGTGTCAGACCTACATCATGGTCTGATTACTCTCTGAGTTTCCCTCAGCATCCTCTCTGTTTTCCTTCACAGGCATTTTCCCTAATAGATCTTTCCCTATTTGGTGACTGCTTCTCAGAGAGACCTGAGAACTAACACAGGGAATGATATAATTCTTTGTAGCCCAGGATCACAATTTTGGGGGAAGGAGAAAGAAGCAGCTGTCTGCTAATTTCCTTCTACTCTATCTCCTTCTCTTCATCTCCACCAATCCCATCCTGTAGTCCAAACCTCCTCCAGGACTCCTGCAAAAGTCTCCTGATGGTCTTCCAACTTCTCCCCTTGTTTCTCTCCAATGCATCCCCCACACTTCAGCCAGAGTGATGATGTTAGAACGCAAATCTGATCATGTCATTCTCTTGCTTAAACACTTCATAGCCCCCATTGTCCTCTGGATAAAGTCCAAACTCTTTTCTGTCATGACAATAGTCTAATAATACTAATTAGACTTATTGAGAGCTCCTGTTGTACCAGCCACTGTTCTAAACATGTTATATGCGTGAACTCATTTAATCCTCATAAACATTTCCTTGAGCTATGTACTATTATTTCCCCTGTTTTACAGTTGAGGAAATTGAGGCACAGAGAAGTGAAATGACTTGCCCAAGGTTGGTAAGCTCATAAGAGATGGAGCCAAGATTCCAACCCAGACAGTCTGATCTAATGCTCATGCTCTTAACCATTAAGATAGACCAAGTCTCTCCCGAATGCTTCGTCCAAGTTTGCTGTTTGGCTTTTGATTTTGTGATGGGGTTTATGCTGCAGAACTTTTAAATTTTTATGTAGCCCAAGTTTATCAGTATTTCTTTTCATAGTTTCTAGGCTTTCTGTCATGCCTTACAAAAGGGCTTTCCCACTCGAAGTTTAGAAAGCAAACCTCGCATGGGATCTTCTAGTTTTTACATGGTCTCATCGTTATATTTTTAAATCAGGGATCAATCTGGAATTTAGTTTGATGGAAAGAGTGATGTATGGACTTAGCTTTAGTTTAGTTTTTTTTTTTCTGTAGGCTGCCCAGTTCTCTCAACGTTAGTTATTAAATAATACGGATTTTCCCTACTGATCTAAAATGTCGTCTTTATCATATACTAAATTTCCAAATGTATTTGGATCTATTTCTGGATTATATGTTGTCCCATTCAAAAACACAAATCAGGTTATTCTCCAATTTAAAATCTTTCATTGATTTCCGTGGGCCCAAGTAAAAATGTAGTAGCTCACAGTCTTCTCTGAAAGTCAGGCAGATCTGGATGTCACTCCAGCTGCCTCCTGTCTGGCCTTGGGCAAGCAACCTAACCTCTTTTAACACATATCTCTCAGTAACATGGTTATTGTAAGGATTTGGCTTTGTGTGGGGAGGGAGTAAGGCATGTTCCAGAAACCAAACCACAGTGTCTAGACTAACAGTCTTCAATAGAACTTTCTGTGATGATAGAAATGCTCTGTAAATCTGTGCTGTCCAATATAGTAGCCAGTATTCATATGAAGCTAGTTTGACTGATGAGCTAAAATTTTAATTAATTTTAATGTAAATGGTCACATGTGACTAGCAGCTGCCATATTGGACAGTTCAGATCTAGATCCCAGAGAGGGAGAGGAGGAAGGTGTGTGATAGAGGCTAGACTGTAGAAGGCTTGTGGGCCTCTTTAGGGACTTGAGTCTTTATCCTAAGAGTAACAGGAAACCGTTAAAGGCTTTCAGTGGGAAGGAGGAAAGTGACCATCAGATTTGAATTTTGAAAGGATTGCTCTTTAGAAGACAAGAGAGATTGTGGCAAATCAGTTGGGAGGATGTTGCATTAGGTGTGGGAGATGATGGTCCCTTGACCTAGGATGGTAGCAGTAGAGAGAAATGGATAGATTTAAGGGGTATTTTGGATTTAAAATGAGTAGGATTGGGGTGATGGATTGGTTATGAGGGGTAGAAAAGAGGGAGGTGTTAGAATGATGCCTGGGTGTTCTGGCTTTGCTCAGCTGGGAGAGATGGTGGCACCATTCATTGAGAGAGAAATGCTGGAAACAGATTTGGAGGGGAGATTATGACTTTAAGCTTGGCCATGTTGAAACATCTGATGATGGATATAAAGGTCTGTCTGGAGATTAGAGAAGTCTGGCTGGAGATAGAGATTTGTAAGTCATGGGTGTGTGGATGGTAATTTCTGATGGAGGATGTGGAGGGAAGCATGGAGCAGAAGAAAACCCAGGGCAGAAGATTGAGCCTTAGTGAATGATGTTTACTTTTACTGGTTAAGGAAAGGAGGAGCAGCTTACAATGGAGAATGGCTAGAAAGGCCAGAGAAACACCTGGAGACTATGGTTTCATAGAAACCACTTAGCTCACAAGTGGCAGAACCAGAATTGGCACCCAAAGCTCTTACATACATGCATAGTCCACTGTTTTGAACTAGAGACCGCTCACCAGCAGTAGGATCAAAGTCCTACCTTTTTAAACACCAGAACACTGTCCAGGGTGACGTGGAAACGCCCAATGGCATTGCTAATTGATATCACTCCAAATGTTAGCTCTGGGAAGTCTTTGATCACATCGTAGAACAACTCTGCTACTTCTTCCTCTAAATCCTGTTTGAGGAAGGATGTTTGGTGAGACTTCGGTAGAAAGCAGAATGCCTGGCTTTTTTAAGGGCGAGGTAGAAATGGTGACCAATTCATCTCCACTCCTTTCCAAGTTCTGGTGTTTTTCTGGGTCATCTGAATCCCCTTTCATGGATGTTTTATGCCCAGAATGCTTCTCTGGCTATGATGTGAGACCAAAATAGGCAAATTCACAGAGACGAATGGAGACACTTGATAACCTTGACCTTTTCTGAGCAGAATGGTGAAGGTTGTTCTAACACGGGTTGAGAGTTTTGAACATTTATTCCATTATTGCTTTTGAAAGAGGCAATTGATTTGACCACATGTGGTACCAAATATGAACTTGGTATCAAGATAGGGCTTTAGTTTCAGTTTCATTCTTTAGCTTGAAAGAAAATTGGGGCTGAAAACACGGTCAAAAACTGGAGTGGGAGAGAAAGAGGCACATACTCTCCCCATGTATAAATATAACGCCAAAGTTCTAACTTCTACTGGGAGAAGCAGTGAAGTCATCAAATTACAGAAAATAAGTTAAAATGTGCAAGAAACTCATTCTCTAAAAGGAAAATCAGTTTGCAAATTATTTATTGTTCAGTGATGTTCTAAATGGACCCCAAAAAGATCAGTTATGCTATCAAAACCAATTCAATGAATATGTCAGTCTCCTCTCCTCTCTCTCCATTTCTCTCCACTTTCCAGTTAGCTTCTCCTACCACTTCAGCTTCTATTTTTTTCTTTCTTCATTTTAACCCTGCAGGAAACCAGCTCATTAGAAAAGGAAGAATGGGCAGGCAATTAACCCAAGTGACGGTCTCTCTTCACCTTACCAACCTCCTAGACACAGGGTTCCTCACCAGTCAAAAAGCTACCTCCCATCCCTTGAACCCAGTACCTGGAAGAAACCAGTGCTGCAAGGGCCTGGATTTCACAAACTCGACTACCTGCTGGGTATCAGTGAACAAAAATGCTTTCTGGCTAATTTGTCTCCTCAACCAAATGACCAAAGCAGTAGATTCATCCATTCCTGGAGAGAGATACAATTAAACGGATCCCACAGAAGTTTCCTCTTGAACTAGAGCAAGGCCTGTCTCCTCCAAGTTTAGAGTAGAAGCATCTTGTCTTGGGCTCCCACCCCTGGAAGGCCAAGTTCAGTTCTTCCACTCTCCCCTCCCCCACGCTCAAGCTCCATGGCATGAACATTAACAGCAGCCCCTAAACTGTATTGAGTGCTTATCAAGGACCAGGCACGGTGCTGAGAGTTTTGCATGTATCCCATCCCCAGAGCAACTCTACAGGATAGATCTCTTCATTTTGTAGATGAGGATATTGAGGTTCAACTTGCCAGTGGCCACCCCACCAGCAAACCTGGGAATCAGACCCAGGAGGAAGCATGCCCAGCCTTCTTTTCTTATCTACTCTCCAATGTGACAGGAAGATGGATTTATTTTAAAAACATATAAATAAATAAACAGTAAATTGAAAGACTAGCTAGGTCTGTGACCTAGGGAAAATTCCATTATCTCCCTGTGCCGCCAGTTCCTCAGCTGAGACACAAATGTCTGCTAAGCTCATAGATCCTGACTTCCATTTCTCAGCTACATATGGGAGTGCCAAGCACACAAAAATCTTAGCTTCTGAAATTGGACATATATAGCATATCTGGGGAGACATAATGGTGGGCCAGAATGAACACAAGACTACAGATGGACTGTGTTTGCCAGGATCCTCAGTTTCACGTGATGGCAGGTAATGTAAAATATTATTTTATATTAAATCCTGCTATAGAATAGAATGGAACATTTAAAATGAGTTTATGAGATAAAGCAATGTGTGTTGTGAGCAGCTTTGGAGTACACGTGCAGGCCTTTACTCCTGCACTCAGTCATTCATTCGTTCATTTGACAAATATGCATTGAGTGCCTATTATGTTATCAGGTGCTGTGCCACTGTTTTGCAGCTCTCATTCTGTTAAGGAGGAGAATCATCAAATAATTACACAAATAAGTGTATAATTACACCCAAAGAAAGTAGTCAAAAGCAAAGTTCTATGAGCCTATAGCAAAGATACATGACCTAGACTGTGAACTCAAAGAGGGCTTCCTAGAGGAAATCACTTATGAGTTAAAAATTGGAGGATGCATAGGAGTTAATCAGGAAGCAATAAGGAAAGGGGAAGGCTGCCAGGCAGAGCAAATAGCCTGTGCAAAGGCCCTGGAGCAAGACAAATTTCTGCATGGGGCTTGGTGAATGCACACTGAGTTGGTACATCAGCTGAGAAGGACCCTATTTTCAGTATCTTTCCTTATACCTCCTAAGAACATTAGGCCATTTTTAAAACATGATAAAGTACATTTACATAGAGAAAGGTGTACAAATTATAACATATAGTTTGATGAATTTTCACAAAATGAACACATCAGAGTGTTGACGCGTTCAAAATGAACACTACCATCCAGAGCAAGAAATGGAACATTACCAGTCCCCCAGAAGTCCCAGTTGTGCCCCCTCCTAGCCCATCTCACCCACACCTGGAGGTAACAAACATCCTGACTTCTAATGGCATGCATTAGTTGGCCTGCTCTTGCACTTCTTGTAAATGGGATCATACAGTGTGTGTTTTTGGGTCTGACTTTGTTATATTTGTGAGATTCATCCATGTTGTTGTGTGTACTTGTAGATTCCTTCCCACTGCTGTGTAGCATTCCCTTGTGTGAATATTCCACAATGTATTTATCCATTCTCTGTTGATGGGCATATGGATTGTTTCCAGTTTGGGGCTATTAAGAATTAATTCTTGTGCATGTCTCTAGGGGCACATTGTACCAACTTCTGTTTAGTGGTGGGGTTTAGGACAAGCGCTTAACACTGCACCTGGAAAGAAGTGAGATCCTTGCCATTGTTGTGCTCTCAGTCAGGTAGACAATGAGGAACAGACACAATTCTGTAAGGTGAGGGCGTTAATGGGGGAAGCTCAGGTGCTATGGGACCAAGAAGAGGGGCAGGCACTCTGACCCCGGAAGTCAGGGAGGCATCTTGGAGGGGGTGATAATCAAGCTTCCTCCATGGCAGAGGAGGTCCCAGACACTGATTCACACCACAAAGGGGGCTCAGACAGTCTAGAAGTTGCCACGTTGTCACCTTGTTGCCTCTAAGTGAGGTCAAGTCTCACCTGTCCTTCAGGAGGTGAGGGCATTGCAGAACCTGAGCCACTTCATGAGCAGATATAGACTCTACCAAAGTGACCTGGGGCTTCTCGTTTCTTCTCAGCCCTCCTCAAAGCCAACACTCACTAAGGGCTCCTTGCTTGGGCCCAGTGGTTCACCGTCATTGACGGTGGTCACTCGGCATCCATAGGAAGCAGCAGTCTCTGTCCCTTCTCTCACTGCTCCTGCCCTCTCCCATCTCTTCTCTTTCCCCCTGCACACGCCACCTTCCCACAAGCCTCCTGGGAACCACAACACTGCCTGACCGTTTCTGTAACCTGCGCTGAGGTTGGCGCTTTGGCTGTACTGTCCTCTGCAAATCTGGCCTGTGTGTCTCATGCCCCCTTGTGTCCATCCCGAGAACTGCAAGGCATGGAGCAGTCCCTGTGGGAGATGGCTCTCCCCCCCCCCACCCCTTTGGTTCCTGCAGTAACACTCAAACAGGCTTCTTGCAAGCCTGCTAAATGCCAGAGCTGCAAAAGGCAATCTCAGTTTCCTGAGATTCAATCATTCGATACGTATATAATGGGAACATCTTAGTCATGAGCCACATGACGACATTTCAGTCAACAATGGACTACATACACAATGGTGGCCCCATAAGATTAGTACCATACAGCCTAGGCGTGTAGTAGGCTATGCTGTCTAGGTTTGTGTAAGGGCACTCGATGATGTTCGTACAACTAATGGTGCATTTCTCAGAGCATATCCCCATCGTTAAGTGACACATGACTGTACTAGTATAGTAGGGACTGTGCTGGGCACTTCTGTGTTCATCAGCTTTGTTCCATCCATCCATTGATTATGCATACATTTATGCATTCATGAATTTAACATTTAAAAAGTTAGGACGTACCATGTGCCACACTGAGGCACATAATCCTTCAAGCATCCTTGGCACCAAGACAGGGCTTGACACATGGTAGGTTCTCAATAAAAGTGTGTTAAATAAGTGATTGAATGAGTTAATGAATGAAATGGATGATGACAGAAGCTAAAGTGTTTGGCAGTCACCCTGCCCCAAACCCATCTTGTTATATCATCTCTCAGTCTCCCTTTAGGTTTGCCAGTGTTTCCTTGGCCTAGGCCCTGTCAAAATCATTCTAAAGTAGAAGATCGGGGTGGGAGGTGGGAGCTGGAGGCAGGGACTTACTTTCTGGTCTCTGGTAGTTTGTAAGCCATGCACCTCACTCTCCCACCTCTAGGGCCCACCAGCTGAGATGCAAGCTGTGGTGCAGGCAGCTACATGTTCACCAAAATCTGTTTTCTTTTCCTTATGGATACAGAACAGCATCATATTTCTCAGCCTTCACAGTTGGGTGGGGCCATGTAACAGAATTTTGGTCAATGGAATGAGAACTGAAGTGATGTTTGCCACTTCCAGGCCTGGGCCATGAACACCACCAGTGGCGATATTCTGTCTCCTTGTCCCCACTACTGGCTGGATACAGAGGAAACAGCAGGGGGCTCAGAGGCTGTAGGGGAGGTCAGAGCCAGAAGCTGGAAGGAGCCTGGGTCCATGAAAGACTGTGTGGAGCACAGCCCTCACCTCCATCCTCTGGCTGCCATCTGGGCTTTGTGTGGCAAGAAGTAAGTGTGTAATTGTGTTAAGCCCCTGAAATGCTGGTGTTTATGTGTTTCCTTGGCTAGCATTACCTTGACTGATGCCCGCGTACCATTACCTTTGCAGCTGATGGGCTCCGATCTGTTGCCCTCAAAAAACAGCTTCAAATCTGGGGTCTTGTTAATGTCAAACTCCTTCTGAAGTTCTTTCTCGATGGTGATGTCCACTTTGCCAAAGCCGACCCCATTCTTGCCTTTGCCCATGATCTCCGCAGCTTTGCTGAGCTCCTCAGCCATGTTCCTGGATTGCTTCGAGGATGGGATGTCTGAAAGAGCCAGTGTGAAGACAGAACTCGCTAGAGCCTCACCCCCTCCCCCTCTCCCAAGGAGGAGGCTTTGTTTGGTCTGCTTAGCTCCTGGGCCTTTCTCGTGCTCTGCTGCTAATGGGTAAATTTTCAGGAGAGTGACAGGATGTGAGACACGAGGTTCATGGAATTGGCCAATTTGGAAGACACACATCAGGGTCCTTTGGGTTCAGCAACGCTGGGCAACTTTGGGCAACTCACTCAATCTCTCTAAGCCCCGCTTTCATCACAGGTAAAATGGGGAAAATAATAGTGGCTATTTCATGGAGTTGTCAGAGTTGAATGAGATGTATTTAACAACGAGTGATATAGTGCTTATGATTTTCTAAGAGCTTTGCGTGGATTAAGTCACTTAGTCCTCCAGTCCTCCTATGGGGTGGGTGTTGTTGTTATTATTTCAACTTCCTAGATGAGGAAACTGATGCACAATGAAATGAGCTGCTCACCTGAGGCCATGTGGCAGTAAGGGGTATAGCCAGGATGCAGACCTGCTCAGCTCTCTAACCTCACTGTGTCTGTAAAACCCTTAGCATAATACCTGGCACGTAGTAAATACACAATACATTATTATTACTACAGACATTATTATTGTGAAATTTCCATGGTAAGAAATTATATGGAAGAGAGAGAGAGTGGGGGGGGGGGAGGGTTAGGGGGGAGAGAGAGAGAACAAGAGAGCATGGGTGCCATCTGGTGGAAAGTTCTGGATCTAACAGGCCAAACTGGGCCCTGCCAGTTGCCCTGTGGCTGCATATAATGTCAGGTGACCCTCAAGTAGGGAAGGCCAGGTGTGGGAATGGTTGAGGTGGGGGAGGTTATGATGCCCCTTACCCTCTCTGAGCCCATCCCCTTGAGGAGAGCATTGAAGAGACCTTGACATTCTCGATTAAGATTCCTTCACCCCTTACATTGCTGAGCCAAGTAGGGTGGGGGTAAGAAGGGGGAGCCCTTTTCTGGAAACAGTCTCAGGTAGCTGGCTCTTGATCCTGGCAGCGGGAGAGGTCTTCCTGGTCTAAATGGGAGGGGACTAAGAGGCTCTCAAGTTTCCTGCCTTCGCCGGATAACACTGTGAGTCTGCAGGTCCCTCCCCTGGCCCCTGATGTCTGCCACACGTGGACCAAGGGAGGGCGAGGGGTCGCTGATTCCCTTTCAAGCCAGAACGCACACTTTATCTTTTTCAACCACCCCTTGTCCATCTGGAGCACTTGGAGAAAGTACAGAAGACCACCACTGCCATGAACAAGTTACAAGTCCAACAGAGAGGTCTTTTGTAAAGGACAACCCAGAAAGCTGGCCCCAGCAGGCACACACCCCATTGCCAGTCAGCATACCTGCTCCTGTGACGGAATCCGAAAGTGAAGGATCATTTTCGTTAAACCCTTGATCAATGGACAGGAAAAGGGACTTTTCACTGATCGATGCCTCTCCACTGCCTGCTCTGTCACCCTCATTGCCTTCGATAGCCACCATCCATCACTCCAGCAGGGGCTGTCCTGTGGCTGGCCACCAGCTCTGGACCTCGGGGCTCTCCCTGGCTTCCTTGTGGATTCAGTCATGCCCTGCTCAGGGTTGCTGATTGACAAAGCATCCAAATCTGAGTTTCTAAGGGAAGAACCTCAGAGCAAGACAAACACTTGGAGTGATTGTCCAAATGGTGGGGCTTTCAGAGGTGCCACACCTAGCCCTGAGCTCCTGGGTGTCCGAAATGGAAGTGAAAGGTGTGACAGCTGGAATGCTGGGACCTGAGAGCTAAATGGATGGGACCTAACACTAATAGTAATGAGGATTCATTTGTTCATTCATTCCTTCAACAAATCTTTTTTAGGATCCACCCTGTGCCAAGCACTATGCTAGGTGCTGGGGATTTAACAATGAACAGATCGATAAAAATCCCTGTTCTCACTGGAAAGGCAGAAAGTATACAAAATAAGGAAGTAGAATCTATGCCACGTTAGATGCTAAGTGACGATGCTCTAGATGCTCTAGAGAAAGAAGCAGCAGAACTGCAGGTTGGGAGTGTCAGGGGAACTGTGAGCGCAAGTAGGGAGGCCAAAGGAGGCCTCACTGGGAAGGAACGGTTTAACAAAGACTGAAGGAGATGAGGGAGCAAGCTATGCGGAAATCTGGAAGGAGAGTGTTTCAGGCAGAGGAACTGTAAGTGCAAAGGCCCTGAGGTGGGAGTGTGGGGGACATGTTTGAGACATGACAAAAAGTCCTTTGGGCCTGGAGCAGAGTGAGCTGGGGTGGGGGTCTATAGTATAAGCCCTGATAGTTGGGGATTTTTCTCTTGTTTATAATGCAAGTGCCTGACTTAAGCTTTGATTGCCAAGGCATTCATTTCAAAGAGGCATCCAATTCAAGAGGACTATCTGGAATAAACACATTGCCTGCCACACACTAGGTAAAGAACCAGGCTGCCTCCCCACTGAGGCCCCTTGATTTAGAGATCTTGGTTTATTTCAATAATTGATCATTTGGGCCACTTTTCTCTCTCTCTCTCTCTCTCTTTCCTGTGCTTTAAATTCCTGCTCTTATGTTTTAAAGTCACCAATAAAGAGTGGGCCAAAAAACCCTAGGCCCTCATCCTCAACCCCAGCAGAAGCAGAACCCCATACCCCTACACACACACTCTCTCTCTACCTGTGACCACACTCATCTGTGTGGCCCCAGACGTGCTGTGTAATTTCCGGGTCTTATAAGTAACAAACTTCTATTCTTTCAAACTTTCCTGGTGGTTATTGTTGATTATGGATTATTTGCGTCGACAGTAGGCATGAATGTCAGAGACCTTGAGCATTGTGGCTGCTGATGCCTAGATAAGAGGGGGTGGAAATGCAGCCAATTGGCAGGACTCCTGGAATCAAAGTTCATTAGACTTAAATTCTGTGACCCCCATCAAGGTACACATGGAGAAACTCAGAGACCAGCCTACACAGCCTTGGAACTACTTTCTCTGGAGCCAGTCCGTAGATGGAAACCATAATTACAACTGTTACAATTTATAAAGTCATTCTGTATGTTAGGTCCTCTGTGCTAGGTGCCTAGTATTCAAGACATCTCAGTCAAGGTTCAGTTGAAGGAAATAGATGCTACTTGTATTACTCAGCATTTACTATAGTAACAAACATCCAGGACATCTCAGCAGCTTATAATGATGCATGTTTTTTCCCATGGGTCTGTGGATTGGCTGAGGATGTGCTGGGCTCAGCTGAACTCCACTCCACATGTGCTACATTCTGGGACCCAGGCTGAAGGTAGACACCTATCTGGGGCACTCTACTCTCATGAGAGAGGGCAGAAATGCTAGAATTCCTGATCAACCACACAACCACATCCACCTATTGACCAAAGCATATCCGTGGGCAAGCCAGAATCAATGAGAGGCGAATACATACTCTTGCCCAGATTGCACTGGGAAAGTCACATGAAAATGAATGGGGGCATATAATCCTACTACAGGGAGGGGGAAAAATATTGGGAACAATTCAATCTACCACATCACTGTATTTTAAGCACAAAGAGGTTTATTGTATAGAATTGGGTGTTCACAAATCTGTCAGAGGTGCTGGAGAGAGAGGATCCAGACAAGGTGTGGTGCTTTTGGAGAATGGCCCACCAAAAAGAAACTGAAATGGATGCTGAGTGCCAATTAACTCATAACCACAAGAAATTAATTTCTGGAAGAACCCTGTGAGGCTTGGGTGAATCTCCGGAAGCAACTGATGACTTTACAGGAAAGACTCATCTGTCTCCTGTCTCCTTCACAGGTCTGACCATGCACTGGCTGTGGAAACTCCAGGGGCTTTGTATCCTGTCTGGGACTTTGGAGGTCCAATCGCGCTGTCCACATTCATACCAGGGAATCGGCAGCCCTGCAGTGGGGCCACCAGAAGGTCCCTGCCAAGTTTAACTTTGCTAGTGATGTGGTGGGTCACTGGGCTGGCATGGAGAAGATAATGGGGTGGAGAAGAGGCACAGAGTTGGACGGATTGGCTGTGTTCATTAATCACCCATTCATTCAATAAATATTTATTGAGCGCTTATGTGTCAGGCACTAGGATGAGCTATGAAGAAGATGTCCACCTCCCTTGAAGGCAGCATGGGGTGGGAGCAAGAGAACATGAGCTTGGCAGAAAGTTGAGCCTAAGAGACCAGTGCAGAGCGGAGTGAAAACCACGGGTGGCTGACACACAGTTTGCTTGCACCTACTGTACATGGTGTGTTGTGACCTCCCAGAGTGAAACAAGGACTGGTGGATTGGGGTCATAGAGGAGGTGGATTTTGGTTTAATAAGAGAAAATCAGCACTAAGGATTGCAACAGTCTTCTCAGAAAGTTATGTGTCCTTGTCGTCAAGGGTGTGTACACAGGATGGCCACTAGGCAGGGGTTGTCAAAAGGGCTGCAACATGAGACATCAGAGAAAGAGAGTGATGCAGAAATATCTAATTTTCCTTTCCTGCCCTGGAATTCTAAAATTCCTCCCCACTCACTACTGATCCCTCCGCTGCCCTCGCTTGAAGTTCTGTGCGCTTTTATAGAGGATGGAATGATTCATCTTGGCTGGAACAGGGGGAGAGGTGGATCTGTCAGCATGAGCTTAAAAGCATGGTGCTCAGAGGGAGTCGTAACTGTGATGTTGTCATGAGGTCCCGACATCATGACACAACATTAATAGAGAAATTGCAGATGCTGGGCCTCTAGGCTGAAGATGGGTCATGGTGCAGGATACTCGTAAAAAAATTTGGTCAACATTTTAAAATTGAAAAATTTAAGATAAAAACTTAGATTTCTGGCTTTTCTTTAAAAGTTAGACCTCCTTGGAATAATGAGGAAGGACTTTACTACCGTGACTCAGAATCCTGAATCCATAAAAGAAGTGATTTAATAAATCTGCTATGTAAACATCAAAAAAACCTCTCCTTTGAAAATAACACTATAAGCAAAATCAAAAAACTAATGACAACCAGGGGAAAAGTATTCAACTCATATACAGCAAAAATGTTAATATCCCTAACGCAAAAAGAGCTCCTAGAAGTTAAGAATAAGGAGCTGCAACCCAATGTAAAAGTGGGCAAAGTATATGAATGGGCAGTTCACAGAAAAGTGAACTCAATATACTCTGTGGACAAGGCTATGAGGAAATAGACACTCTCACGCATTACTGGTCAAAGGGCAAAATGGTACAACTCCTATGGAGAGGAATTTTGAAATATCTAACACAATCACCAATACATTTTCTGTTTGACTTTGTGTCTTTGCTCTCACGCTGTCTCATGGGGATCCCTGAGGATACCAGAGACTCAAGGGAGTCTGTGAAATCAAAACTATTTCAAAGCAAATTGCAACCCTTGTGCAACACTGGTGGGAATGTAAAATGGTACAACTTCTATGGAAAACAATATGGCAGTTCCTCAAAAAATTTAAAATAATTAAATAATTTTAATAATTAAAATAAATACCATATAATCCAGCAATTCCACCTTTGGGTATATATCCCAAAGAATCAGAAGCAGGATCTGGAAGAGATATTTGTACACTCGTGCTCATCGTTGTTGACAATAGCCAAAAGATAGGAACGACCCAATATCCATTAATGGATGAATGGATAAACAAAATTGGCATGTCCATGCAAAGGAATACTATTCAACCTTAAAGAAGAATGAAATTCTGATGTATGCTACAACATGGATGAACCTTGAAGACATTATGTTGTGAAATAAGCCAGACACAAAAGGACAAATTTTGTGTGACTCCATTTATATGAGGTGTCTAGATTAGTCAAAATACCTAGAGACAGGAAGTAGAATGATGGTTACCAGGGGTTGGGAGGAGGCAAGATTGAGGAGTTGTCTAATGGATACAGAATTTCAGTTTTGGATGATGAAAAAGTTCTGGAGATGGATGGTGGTGATGGTTGCACAATATTGTGAATGTGCTTAATGCTGCTGAACTGTACACTTAAAAATAGTTAAAATGGTACATTTTATGCATATTTTACCACAATAAAAAAGGAAAACAAAAATAAATATACAAATAGAGAAAGAGAGAGAAACAAACAAACAAATACATAAATCTAAGGTAACAGTTGCCTTCTTCACTTCCATTCTCTCACAAGTGCACAGTGGCATTTTCCAGAGGCTACATGATAGGTGATCCTGCAACAATGGAAGTGCAGAAACAGAAAAGAAAATCCAACTGTCTTCTTTTAAGGAAGACGATAAAGAGATTTGCAAACATGTAAGGTGATGCCTCTCTTCTCATTATTTTTTTTTGTTTCAGAAAGTATACTTACCTCTGTATCAAAATGTATCTTATTTGTGGTAATATATAATGGGTTTCTTACTGTTATTTTAAAAAGCACACATTTATAAAATTTCTCAGTTTTAATTTCTAATGTAGTAAATATTGATTGATAGAATTCATATAAATAAAAATTCTTCAGGGTTTTTAATACTTCTTAAGAATGTATAGGGGTCCTGAGATTAGAAAGCTGACTATACATTGATAGGGCAATCCCAAGACTGGCATTTATTCTACATGCTTGCGTACCGGCCCACCCTAATCAGTAGGCCTTCTCCTTTTTCAGGCTGGCAAGTGGCCCCCCAGCCCAGCCCTGTGGTGAGTGAGTGGCGATGGGGATGAAGTGATGTGGAACTTCAGCCAACGGAGTGAACTCAGCCAGCAGGCAGCCAATGTCCTCTCGGGGGCCTGTGGCCTGCAGTGTGGGAACCGTGAGGTGGTGGTGCTGCCCCGAGTGCCTGAGTGGTGCCTGGTGACCCTGGGTTGCGTGAGAGCAGGTTGGTAGATGACCACCTCGGCTGGGCACTGTGTACTTTGTGAAAGAAACTGATGGCAGAGAAATGCAACCACCCCTCCCAAAAGATGCCCCCTCAGCATAGCATGCTGTCCCTCCTCATATGGAAATACTACTCTTCTTTCATTTATTTAAGCAAACTATGTGCCAGGCACAACTAGAGGTTGCTAGTATGGTAAACAAAGTATAGTAAACAAAACGGTCTATGTACTCATGGGACTTACAGGTCTTTGGAGAAAGATAACTATTAAACTATTAATTACAAATGTTATTTAATCACAATTTTGACGAATGGCATGAGAATTTTATAAGAACCTATTCAAGAAAAGTTGGCAAACTATGACCTGTAGGCCAAATTCAGCCCACAGCCTGTTTTTGTAAATAAAGCTTTTGGAACACAGCCATGTCCTGCTCACATATTCTCTCGTTGCTTTTGCACGACGATGGCAGACTGGAGCAGTTGGGACAGAGAGCATCTGGCCCACAAAGCCTAAAATATTTACTGTTTGGCCCTTTGCAGAAAAATTTTGACAATCTTGCTATAAAAGGAGACTTGAACTGACTAATCTGTGGGGGTCACAGAAGGCTCAGTGGAAGTGAAATTTGGGCTGAGAGCTGAAGGATGAGTAGGATTTGGCCAGGACAGGAGGCAGAGAAGAGTGCTACAAGCAGAGGGAACACACAGAGGGAAGGGGAGCTTGAAAATTATGAGAGAAGCTGAAAGGATGTCTGTGTGCCTGCAGTCCAGGCAGCAAGGAGGAAGGAGCAGCAAATGAGCCTGGAAAGATGTAGAGGTGCTAAACTGGTAGACCTTGGTAAGCGTTCTGGCCCTTATCCAGTGAGGAATGGCAAACCATGGATGGATTGAGTGATATGATCATTTTCTGTTTGTAAAAAGTCTTTATGGATGGTACATAGACGGTAGGATGAAGGAGTGCAAGAATGGGAGTGGGAAACCCAGATAGGAGACGAGATATGATGGTGGCTTTACCTTGGATGGGGTGGAGATAAGTGGATGGATTTAGGAGACAATGAGGAAGAAACTGATAGCAGGACTTTTTGGTGAATGATATACTGTAGAGGAAGAAGGCCAGGGAGACGAAGAAGTCACAGACACTTGGGCAACTGACTACATGCGGCTCTCTTTCACTGGAAGGAGGAACGCAGGGAGAAGCAGGTATGGGGGTGTCTGGGAAAGACGACAAGTTCAATTTGGTAACTGTTGAGTTGGGGGTACCTGTGTGATGTTCAAGAAGGGATAAGGAGTTCTAATTATGAGATAAATCAGTCCTGGGGATGTAATGTACAGCATGAGGACTATAGTTAACAACGCTGTATTGTATATTTGAAAATTGCTAAGAGAGTAGGTCTTAAAAGTTCTCATGACAAGAAAAAAAATGTGTAATTATGTATGGTGATGAATGTTAACCTATTGTGGTAATCATTTCACATATATACATATATAAAATTATAGGCATACCTCATTTTATCGTGCCTCGCTTCATTGCACTTCACAGATGTTGTGTTTTTTACAAGACCTTCCACCAGCAAAAAGATTACAACTTGCTGAAGGCTCAGATGATGGTTAGAATTTTTTAGTAATAAAGTATTTTTTATGTGGCTCCTGAAGTGTTGAGAGTGGGAAGAAAGTGAGCCGGGGCAAGAGCTATTCAACAGGAGGAGCATGTGAAATCAGCTTCATAAAAGGTGAAAGAAACATAAGACTAGTTATTCTCTGGAAGAATAAAATAAAATTACAAGAGTTTCATCAAGATAGAAAACAAAAACAAAGAAAAACTAAGAGCACTCTTGGCTAAGAAAATGCATTCCGTGTCCCAGTTTGGGGAGAAATAGCCAGTACCTAGAGCACTATGGTGCTGCAGGACCAGGGACAATTCCAAGTAACTTTCCTTATTTTAATGACTGTAGGGGTCTTTGGATACAGGAAACTCCTGCAGGGCATTTTGTGTAAGGTTTGGAGGCATTATATTGGCCTTAGACTGTCAATGGTGTGACATTAGGTAACCCAATTTCTCTCTTTAGTCTCAGTAGACCCCTTACAGCTCTGACAACCCGGGGAAATCTGGGTTCAAATCAATCTCTGATCTTCAGTCCCCTTGTTATTATTACTCCCACTGGTCACCACTACCCAACCTCCCCTCCCCCATTTACTCCCCTCTGGCTGTTTACATCAGGCCTCTCTGGGGTAGAAGACAATCCTCCCTCCCAGTTCTCTCTAAGCCATTTGGCTTCTCCAGGCCTCGTCTTCATGACCAGGACTATCCAGATGAAAGCCAGACTTTCTCTATAGGCAGCAGGTGTCCAAGGCCAGGGTCATTGTGGCTGGGGATGAAGTGGCCCAGGCAGTGGACACGGTGGCACCTGACTCCCCTTCTCTGAAAACAAACCCACTGATGTCTGAGAAAATCCGAGACGGATGTCTGGACTTCAAGACACTACTACAGTGAGTATCTACGTGTCTTATCCTGGGTTTTCACCAAAAGTGGAAACTAAACCAACTACTTCTGTGCAGGTACTTTATTGGAGAGGTCCAGGAATCAGAATGTTGGGGAGAGTGAAGCAGGGGAGAAGGAAAAGCTAATACAAGAGTTTATTATTGAGTCACTGCATGGATAAGTGGGACTTGATCTGCAGGAACCTTCTGAGGAGCACACAGAATGCCTCTCAGGATTGTCCACTAAAGGATTGACAGTGCTGGCCCATCAGCACCTGACCCCCATTGGTGGAGAGTTGCGTTGCGGGGCATTATCTACCCCACACTTCTGAGCTGCACATGCATGCATGTGGAGCAGGCTCAGAGTTCCATGCCATGGTGGCAACAGAGAAGCCCCTGCGCACAAAGTGAGTCATCCATGGTCCACACTAGAAAGAACACCATATGTGTTGAAACTTGCCTGGAGCTGTTCACTACAACCATTGCTGGAATCAGAGTTTAGGCCAAGAGTGTATGAGGCAAAACACAAGAGAAGGCTAATATACTGAGTTTCCCGGCTCCTCTTCCCACCTTCTGTATCCCTAAGCTAGGCTGCTTCTCAAAGACAGAGGACTCTATGGGTCCTTCCAACTGTCGAAACCAGGACTCGCTGGAAGAATGAGTTTCCCTGTGACATGTCTGAAATCCCCCCCACTAGAGACACATACCTTAGGAAACCCCCAGGGAGAATGAAAGCTTTTCTAATGTCATGGTCTTTAAGATAACTGTCTGAGAAGTAGGCAACATGAGGCCAGCTTTGACAGGCTTGAAATCAGGACACTGGAGGACATGTCTGGGAGAGGTACAGATGCTTCAATGAAATAGAAGAGGGTGCACTGGGGAAAATCATACCAATTGAGCACCTTCTGTTCACCTGGTATCAGGCTAGTGCTCCCAATAACAATCAGATTAACATTTATTGAGTCCTTGCTGAGCAAGTTGCTCATTTTTTTTTGTGTTACAGTTAAGTTTCTCAAGAACTCAATGAAAGAGACAGGTATTGTTGATCTCATTTCACAGATATGGAAAGTGAGACTCAGAGAACTTAAATAAATGGTCCAAAATTACATAGTTAACAAAGTGCCAAACCTGAGTGGTTTTTTCAAGCCCAAGTCTGACTAACTCAGAATCTCATGATCTTAATCACTCATCAGCCCACCACTGAAATAGGTTGGGTGACTTGCCCTTGCCAGCATGGGGGAAGGTGGGAAGAGATGAGTCACCAGGACATCTAGTATCCAGGGCAGATCTGAGAAGGTGACACTCTGTGTCTCTGTCAGAGAAGCATCTACCACTCATTGCTGTATGCAGACTGGAAGCCAAGAAGCAGTTGCCATCTACTTCATCAGTGGGACCAGTAGCCTTCCCAAGATGGCAGAACACTCTCACTCAAGTCTGGGCATCAAGGCCAAGATGGATGCTGAATGAGAAGAGCTCTTTCTCTTTACAGAGAACATTACCACCAGGCCTTGAGACTTTCCTGAGCTCAAATCCAGTTCTACTGGGATGGGCTACTATCTGATGCTTATGAGAAAGATAGTTGGGAAGGGGGACATGAGGGAGTATGGCTTAGCAAGTTGGGCATCCATTGACCTTCGGTGGGACATTTCTGTTTCAGGTAACATAGGATCTCAAAACCTCTTCAGTGCTTTGAGCCGTGTGTCTACTAGGTTGAATGATTAACATAAAATTGATACATGTTTTTCCCCAGATTAATCTATATCTTGTACTTTGGGGTGATGGTAATTTGCTTGATGCTGCCTGCATTCTAAGAAGGCATTTTTGTCAGCAGCAAATTACTTTTTGGGGCTGGCCCAGGGGTGTAGTGGTTAAGTTCACACTCTTCCCTTCGGCAGCCTGGGGTTTGTGGGTTTGGATCCCCGGTACAGACCTATACACTGCTCATCAAGCCATGCTGTGGCAGTATCCCACATCAAAATAGAGGAGGATTGGCATGGATATTAGCTCAGGGACAATCTTCCTCAAGCAAAATGAGGATTGGTAACAGATGTTAGCTCAGGGCCAATCTTCCTCACCAAAAAAAAAAAATTACGTTTCAAATCCATTGAAGTAGAAGCTGTAATTGGATTAATTAGATGAACTGAGATCTCAGAATTTCTGGATCTCAGATCTCATAATTCAGAACGTCCTTCTGCTCTACATCAACCCCATCAGTGGAATCAGATAATACTGTGCCAAGTTTGTTATGCAATAGTACGTGGCTGTATATTGTAGTTGTAAGTCCTTTTAGTTCTTCTATGTGACCTGTCACCAGAGCATGGCTACTGACAGACAAGTGACGTGGTTCTACACCCGGGCCACTGAAGTGGAGTGCACTGAACTTTAACTACTAGGCCATCAGGGCTGGCTATGGAAAAATATTTTATTACAAAAAATCTCAAAAACTTAAATGTCCTACTTGTGAGCCTGTGTTACCAGAAAATTAAATTGTTTAATAGAAATTATTTAATGGAAGAGCTATAGTACAATTCAGTTTATAAAAGATGGGAAGATAAATCACTTAAATGTAAATAAGATATTAAATTCCCAGACCCCCCAAAATTTGGTCCTAATAGGCTATGACCCAATTTCCCTACAGAGCTGAAAGCTTTAATCTTCTTGAGGAAGGGACACATACTATGGAGATTCCCAGCCATGGAAGTTCTTCATGTCTAGCCTAATTCATTTTTGCTTTAAAACAGACTGAATACATTTTATTCTGGCCTGAAGAAAGGGAACGAGTTTTTCCCTGTACAAGACCCTTGCCTGTGCTCAGGAAATTCATGATTCTTTGAGAAAAGAGAAACGAAGATCTACACAGCCAAACTTGAACTCTGCAAGGCCTCTTGTCAGAATATTCACTTAGTGTCTTCTGTTAGTAAACATTTCCTGGGTGGTTACCACATGCCAAAACTGTACTAAGTTCTGGGGATAAAGTGAGAGTGAGACCCAATTATCTATTGAGTCATGGGAGCTGGGGTCCCATCTTCTAAATACCTGCCCCTTCTTGATACAGGATGTGTGGATAGATCACCTCTCCTTCCCTCTGCCTGCTCACACTTACACACACGCCTACAGACACACTCAGGTACACACAGACCTGTGCACACACACCTACCCCTCCCCACACATACACACACACTCATGCTCACTCACTCTGGTATGCACTCACATGTATGTACATTTCCTCTATATTCTCAGCATATGGACAGACCTGCAAGCCTCTGACATCATATGGAGCATCTCAGACACAGCTTGGATAGTGACAACTTTTGGCCTCATTTCTGGAGCCCTGGACATGAGGAGGACACATATTTATCCATCTCTTGCCAAAGTTTGACCCACTGGTCATTCTAAACATAAGAGAGGATCCAGTTTGCACCAGATGGTCAGAGTGAGCCCCAGGTTTGCACACTCCAATTTATTGCAGTTTCCTTTAGTTAACCTAATTTTGACTAACCCTGTTACATGGATGGACAGTGTTCAGTAAGCAAGATGAGAATGGTCCCTGCTCTCATAGAGCTCATGTCCAGGGAAGGAGACAGACCCATATACAGATAAAATATATTCAGGGGACAGGCATCATGGGTCATTCATTCACTCAACACATGTTTAATAGGCTTTTGCTCTGGTGTCAAGTGTCAGATAGATGGTGGTGAACCAAGTGTAAAAGAGAAGAATGGAATATTGGAGATGATGCCATCTGTATGTGTGTGTGTGCATATGTATGTGTGTGTGCATAGAGTGCAATCTGCATAAGTGTACAGCTTGAAGTAATTTACCTATGTTAGATACCTTATTACTCAGCTCAAGCTGCTAAAATACTGTAGACTGAGTGGCTTAAACAACAGACATTTATTTCTCATAGTTCTGGAGGCTGGGAGTCTGAGATTAGGGTGCCAGCATGATTGGGTTCCTGGTGACAACTCTCTTCTTAGCTTACAGACGGCTGCCTTTTCACTGTGCCCTCACATGGCGGAGAGAGCGAGCTCTGGTGTCTCTTCCTCTTATTATAAAGACACTAATCCCATCATGGAGACCCCACCCTCATGCCCTCATCAAACCTAATTATCTCCCAAAGGACCCACTTCCAAATATCATCACATAGGGGAGCTGGGCTCCAGCATGTGGATTGTGGGGGAGACAACATTCAGTCCATAGAAGACACCCATATAACCCCCACCAGATCAAGACGTACAGCATTCTCACCACTGCAGAAAGTGCTCATACCCCCTCATGCCATTGTCCACACCCTGTAAGTTAAGCATTCTTTTGACCTCTACCACCATAGATTAATTTTGCCTCTTCTTGAACTTCGTGTAAGTGGAATCGTACACTAGGTAATCTTTTGTGTCTGGCTTCTTTCACTCAACGTATTCTCTGTGAATGCTGTCCATGTTGTTGCACATATTAGAAGTTTGTTCTTTTCAATTGCTGTATAGTAGTCCATTCTGTGGATCTATCACAACTTCTTTTTCCATCTTATTGTTGATGGACATCAGGGTTATTTCCAGTTTGGGGCTATTATCTATGAGAAGTTTTGAAGAATAAATAGGAGTTTTTCTAGTGGAACCTGATGGGGTGGCCATTAAATAAAATCTATAAACTACATTACCCTGGAGCAACAAAGCAATGGAAATGGATGCATTTTGTTTGTAAATTCATGCCCTATGTCAGACTCTATTTGTGATGGGGAGTTGGGTCATTGACATCCTGGGGCCTCCAGGTCTCTTAAGGAGTTGATGGCCCACACAGACTTTTGTTTGGCTGGCAACAGAGACCCCAGGAGCACACACAGTCATGGATGGCCTCCTTAAAGGTCAGGCATGGTTGGATTCTCTCAGGAGATTCTCTTCAAATGATTCTGTCATTCTCTGTTTTAAACAAATTCTTACTTTGCCTCCTTCCAAAAGAGGATTTAAAGTGGCTTTTAAGTGTCATAAATAGAAGAAAAGAACAACATGAAAACAATGTAAAATTATACAGCCTATTAGGAAAATATAGAGTGGAGATGTTGGGGCGGTGGGAGGACTAAAGAGAGTAAGGAGAAGTACAGCAAATAAATAGATAATTGCATGGTGAACTTCCTGTAAGGCAAAGCAACTAGTGAAATGGGATGATTTTCGTAGCTTATACCAGTTCATCAAAAGCACTCAGAGGAAATAATGGCATGATGTACTAATGTTAATCATTTTTCCTGACATTTTTGCCTAAACCATTTTTTGTAATAAATTCTGCACAAAGCAAAGCATGGGATGGAGGTGGTGTTACATAACAGTTAAGAGCACAGACTGCAAATGCTGGTTCCACTACTTGCTGGTTGTGTGACCAGGGGAAAGTTGCTTAAGTATATGGGTCACAGTTTTCCCCTCTTTAAGATGGGATTGATAATACAAACTCCATGAGGTTATTGTGAGAATTAAATGAGATAGCACAAGGCCTGGCAAGTATTCAGTACTGGCTATTTTTTAGTAGTGCTTCTTCTGAATTGTCTATAGGTGCTTTTAACTTTTCAAAGCACTCTTCTACCTGAATTGTGTCCCTTGGGGACAATAGGGCTGGAATTAATCTGTTATAAAGCTAGTCCCAGGAGGTTAAGGGACTTAACCAAGAGCACACAGCTGATTTGCAACAACAGTTGATCTCTTTCTTGGTGATTGGGGGTTTACGTAATTCTAGAGGAGAGTTTATGGGGGAAAGTCATTAAATTGATGGGAATGGGTTGCCAGGATTTGACAAAAAGATTCCAAATTAGTCCTGGATCTTTTCTTTATAATTATAGGTGGTTACTTCTCTGTCATTTTTGACTTGAGGATGCATGAGAATTTGGGCTCATTTGGACTGAAATAGACACACTAAAGAAGCTAGGATTTAAATCCAGAGTCCACCTCCATAGCCCATGCTGATAACCACTGTGCATGCCAGTTAGTTTGGCATCTGACCTGATGGGCAGTGTCAGCTGGCTCTCTTCTTCCAGGCACTGTCCAGCTACCCAGTCAGCAATGTGGTAGGAGCCCCCAGTGTTCACCGGATGTTGATTCAACAGGATCTTTCCAGGTGATGGGACTTTGGGGGTTGGTGAGAGCCTCTGGTCTATTGGTCCATCCTCCTGCCTCCCCCTCGTACACACTTGCTCATCTATCTGACCCTCTGAGCATAGGTAGCCAGATGAAGCCAATTTTATTGTCAAAGCACCCAGAATCCAGCTCTAGGCCTGGGCAGAGCTCAGTTCTAGGGAGGCTTACGGGGAACAATTACCTCTCTTCTCTTTTTCAGGTACAAGCTCCCACATCTACAGAACTGCTTAAGCAGAGGCGAGACCCTCCTTCCAGACACATTGGAGAAGTGGAGGGCCCAGACAGGACTGGACATCCAAGAATTCTATGGCCAGACAGAAATGATACTTGCTCCTGGGACAACCATGAGCTGGTGAATGTGGTGGACTTCAAATAGCTCTTTGATAGTAAAAATATGAGCCACCATTTATCATGCACTTATTCAGTAAATATTTATTGAGCACATACTATGAGATAGGTATTGACAATTCAGCAGAAACAAAAAAATCAAAGCTCCTGCTCTCATGGAGATAACATTCTAGAGGGAGTTGGAGACATTAATAAATATATGATGGGTGAGAAGTTCTATGAAGAAAAGTTAAACAGGTAAGATGGGGTGAGGTGGGATGAGGGGCTGGTATTTCAGATACAATGGTCAGGAAAGTCCCCTGTAATGGTGTAACATTTTTGAAGAGACCTGAGTTTATCAAACAAGCAGGCACTGTACTAAGCTGCTCAGATTGAAGTGAGAGGTGAGGAAAGGAACACACTAGGACCCCACCTCACCTGCTGAGATACCTTCTTGGAACTCTTGGGGCCCCGTGAGCATGACGTGGACTCATATTGCTCTACATTGTGCCACTTACCCAAACAGCCCGGGTAATCCTTTCCCCCAACTCCTTTCCCCAGTGCTTCTTCTTGGGACTCAGTACTTCTCGCCTCCTGCTCTCCACTCTTTTACCTAACATCCTTCTATGGCTATTGGGTCCCCTGGCAGAACTCCTGAGAAGGCTCATGGTAGGGCTGTGATGTGGAAGAACTCGGTAAATGTGGGGAAGGACAGTGGAGTCGTGGCAAGGGCTTCCAGCCGTTCAGAGGAGGCCATGTTTAGGGACTGCTCCTTTGGACAGCAGCATCTCCTTAGAATTCATTTCAGGATCCAAGCAGAGCTGGTCCTCTTATGGGAGATAATTTAATCCCATATTATTTTAAGGGACTTTTGGTGTCCGTGGTCCCTTATTAAAGTATGGCTCCCTCTGAAGAGATTATAATGTGGTTGTTAGTTCCTCTTCCCTGGGGAGTGGTCAATCAAATTGCTTTCTACTTTAAGGCACCCCCTAGAATGGGGTTCCAGTAAGGGGAGAGCCAAGAAAAGGGGAGGGAGGGAGCCACCAAATGAGAGGCAACTTCAGGACTGTGTCAGGACCTGCTCTGCTGAAGCTTTCTTTCCTTTTTCTGTGTCCCATGACTGTGAGGTTTGCTGATCTGTCCACAATTTTCCACAGGGACTCACTTGCAGAGTTTCCAAGACAATGAAAGTCAAACCTGGCTACCTGGGAACCACCACTCCCCCTTACGATGTGCAGGTTTGTTAGGGGCACTAAGGAGGGAGGGAAAACACCAGTTTTTCAATGATTTATTTATTAAATTGCTCACTGAGGAAAAATAATAGAAAGTAAAGATATTAAAATAATATTTAAAAAAGAGGGAGGGAGAAAGGGAGGAAGGAAGACAGAAAGGAAGAGAAAAGAGAAAATTATTCATATTCTTATCATCCAGAGAAAAGTACTTTGAATAGCTAGTTATATAAATGTATAGCTTCATTAGTTACATAAATGTATACATTTAAAAAAATAGGGGTGAGTCTTAACATACCATTTTGTAACTTACTTTTATCATTGAACAATCTTGAGTGACCATCTTTCCAGTTCATTTAACACCAATCTACGGCAGAATTTTTAATGACTACATAGTAGGTAGTATGGCTCCACCACTCTTTACACCTTTTATTGGTCAATAGATGATTTCCAAATTTTTCACTAGTAAAAACAACATTGCAATGAATGTGCTGTAGCTAAAATTTTGCTCCTTTCCATTATTTCTTTGGGTTAAACTCCAAGAAATAGAATGTGCATATGTGTATCTATGGTTATATGTGTGGGTGTATGTATCTAAAGGGTAACAATTGATACTCTATTCAGTGTTGTATGTAATTGTCTGCTCTCCCATCTGTGACTATGATAACCATTTACAGATCCATTTTTTAAAGTATCTTATCTCATTCTTGTGCAATCCTGTGAAATAAGCTGTCATTATCTGTTTTACAGACGAAGGCCCTGAGATATAGAGCTTAAGTAGCTCAAAGACAGCTAGTAAGGCAGCAGAGTCATAATTTGAGTTTTGATCTATCTGGTATCCAAGTCCATGGGCCTCAAAGATAATGGGAGGCTATTATATTTCCTGAACTCCTAAGGCCAGAAGAATCTTCCCAAGCCCCTCTGGTCCAGTCTCAGTAAGAGGCTTCTCTTAAACTATCCCAGGCTGATGGATTGGAGATCTAGGTTTAAAACTCTTGTCTTCCCTTGGTTTCTGGTTCTTGTTTTCAGCGAGCACTAGAGCAAAAGGGTCTTCCACTTGACCAACTCAGCTCTTCCATGTTGCCATTCAAGCCATTTCCTGTTATGTAGATGATTCTTCCAATCTGCTTCTTCCTCCAGGTTGTAGATAACAAGGGCAACATCCTGCCCACTGGTGCAGAAGGAGACTTGGGCATCAGGGTCAAACTTATGAGGTCTATAGGCATCTTCTCTGGCTACGTGATGAGGAACCCACGCTCCTCCATCTGTGCCCTGGTGGCGATAGGGGGTTCTAAGAAGGAAGCGAGGGTTCCCAAAGTTGTGAACTTCCCAAGAGGCACTGGCAAGACATAGGGACCAGGAGGGGAGGGATCCAGTGTCCAAGAATGGGTGCTTTGCCAAGAGAAAAGATTGGCCATTCAACCCTGCTACTCTTAGCCTATCACTAAGATCCCATTTGAAGAATCATCTTTCTCTGGACAGCCCTTTCCACCCTCAAGAACTGTTTCATACCAGAAAGCTTATTGCCTCTCAATTATGTACAGCAGTGTTTTTCCAAGGGCAGCCCTGCCCCCACCCCCAAATATCTCCTCTGCTCTATGCCACTGATTTCCTTTAGAGCCATGCTAGACACTACACTGACTATACCATATAGTTGGAGGCATTTTTGTCTTCAGACCTTTCAACATTAGAAATAGATGATTCTTGAGTCTAACTGCCTCATTTTACAGGTGAGGATGGTGAAGCTAGACTCATCTGCTCGTGAGTCGTACGACTCACCCAAGCCCCAAACACATTAAATAATAAATTAAATAATAATCATTGCTACCATTTATTGAGTGTTTACTATATGTTAAGCACTATCCTAAAGCACTTCACATACATTAAACTCATCTAACCCTCCCAATGACCCTACGAGGTTCTTGGAGACAAATTGCTTGAGTTCAAAACCCCGCTCCACTATTTACCGTGTGATCTTGGGCAAGTTGCTGATCTCTCATGCCGTTGTTTCCTCACCTGTGAAATATGTATTATGGTATCTTTTGGCATTATGATGGATATCTAAACGCATTAATATTTGGGAAACACTTAGAACAGTGCTATGTAAGAGTGCGTTAAATAGAAGAATTGCTGTTCTTGTTCTTAATGGAAATTATAACTTCTGTTGTACAGTTGAGGAAAATCGAGCCTCAGAGAAGAGGGCACAGCCACACTGTGTACTTCTTCAAGCATTTCCTGTGCACTCTCCCACTATAATCTCACATGCCAGTGAGATAGCTAAGGCATGGGATTCTCCCTATTCGACAGACGAGGAAACAGACTCGGGAGTTGATGTGTTGACTCAAGCCTGCAAAGTTAATGCCAGCAGGGGTTGCATGGTGACCAGGAGAAAGAGTCAGGTTGGTGGTCAAGAGATTTGACTTCTGGTCTCAGCTCTGCCATCTGTAAAATTTGTTTGGCCTTGAACAAGCCTCTTGATCTCTCTAATCTTCAATACCCCTATTATCCAAATGAAGGGGCTAGACTATGAATACCCTATTCTGCCTTTTAACCAGTGACTGAACACTTAATCTGGATCCCACACCTCAACAGTTGAACAAACACTTGACATAAAGATGCACTAACAAGAAGAAAACCTCAAACCTTCTCACTGCTCATGAACAAGTGCCTCAGCTGAATAGAGGGGCCTGGGCATTGTAGAAATATGCATTGGCCAGGGCACTAGGGGCTTGCTGATGTATCTCTAGAACTTTCAAAATTAACAAAGGAGCCAAGAAAAATGTCTAATAAACTTTGGTGCCCTTGATCAGTGTCATGGAGTGGAGTTGGGGTTAGGATGACCATTGAATCAGTTGGGGAAAATGCCCTAGATCTTGGATGAATGAATGTATCAATATTGTCCATCAGACTAAACCCTGGGGAGCAGGTAAGAGACCCTAGTGGAATAGCTGAAATAAAGAAGGAAGGTCCACTTCCATCTGGGGACTGAGATTGACAGATTCAGGGCAAGCCTGCCATGTTTAGTTGTTCCAGTTGTAAAATGCACAACCTGCCCTCTGTTCATGGCAGCCCTGGGGCAGAGGATTTAGGCTTTGCAGGAACAATGACTCTGTCTTTCTGTGGTCACCAGGACAATCCTGAGAAGACAGTGGCCAACACCCAAGGAGATTTTTGGCTCCTGGGAGACCGGGGAATCAAGGATGAAGATGGATATTTCCAGTTCATGGGGGGGGGGGGGGGGGCGGGGGTGCAGATGATATCATTAACTCCAGCGGGTGAGCTTGGCTTCTGGGCTGGGAAGGGTAACCTGGATCTTTATTCTGGCTGGTTCTAGACTTTGGGGCTGGCCTAGAGGTTGAGTGTCCAGCCTTCTCTGAAGGACAGGTTCTTCTACAGATACCAGATTGGACCCTCAGAGGTGGAGAATGCACTGATGGAGCAACCACACTGTGGTGGAGACAGCAGTAGTCAGTAGCCCAGACCCTATGCAAGGAGAGATGATGGGGGAGCAGCAGCCTGGGGGTCTGCAGATTTGGGAAACAAGGGCAGTTAAGAGCATGGACTCTGGGGGCTGGACAGCCTGGGTCCAAATCTTAGCCCTGTCAGTTATCAGCTGTGTGACCTTGGGCAAGTTACTTAGCCTCTCTGAGCCTCAGTTTCTCATCTGTAAGATGAGGGTCTGTTGTGAGGATTAAATGTGTTAATATTTGTAAAGTGCTTGGAATAAGGCCTGGCACATAGAAGCACCACATAACCTCTATTATTATGGGGCTAAATAGATTCCACTGCTGTTTGGTATTTGAATCAGAATCCAATCCCTGACCAGAGAAATGAGGAGGAATTTGAGCCAAGATATAGAGCCCCTGAGCCATGGGGTTTACAATAAGAAGAAAGACTCCCCCCCCCCCCCCCCATAATGCCAGGGTTATAGAAATAGGTCCAGATAGAGTCTAATAGAGCGTGGTGTGTGTATAGGGAAAAGTTAAGGTGCAGAGGTGTGGGTCAATGCCCAAGAACATTTCTGTAGGAAGCTGACAATGTCAAACCTCTGGCAGGTATGGGACATATCACCCGTGGAAATCATAGGAGCAACTAGGCAAACGGGGCCTGAAGGGGGATCCTCTACTAAGAAAACTCTGTGTGCCAAGCACTGTACTAAGCTATGCTATATATGAATTCATTTCATTTCCCATAAAGTAAGTATGACAATTGGATCTCCATTTTATAGATGTGCAAACTGTAGATCAGAGAGGTTAAGCAAATCATTTGGGCTCATGGTCCCCAGTCTTTATTTTCCTCTCTTCTCTTGTATCTAGCTTCTCTCCATCGGTCTCTGTTGTCCTGGGGATATGAGGTGAGCCTGGTCTCCATCTACAGTCCTACCTGCCCATCCAATATGCCACTTGAGAGAGAGTTGGAATCTTGGCCATTATTATCCTCAATTTCTCCTTTTCTACTGCCCTGGATATCTGGAGGAGTAATTGAGGGGATATACAGGCGGTGGCTGTGGTGAAATTCTTAACACTGATTTTGCATTATCCCAGGAGATGACGACATCCCCTGATCCCTTCTCTCTTGGCCCTCATCCTCACTGCAGGTACTGAAGGCATTTGTGGTTCTGGCCCCACAGCTTCTGTCCCATGACCCATGTCCCATGTGAAGTCAGTGACAGCCCCATACAAGTATCTGAGGAAGGTGAGGCTTCTGGGCTCCCATCCTTCCCAAACTTGAGGAAGGAGGGATGGTTTTCCTCTTGTATTTCTCTCCTCCAGGCTGAGGATGAGGCCTCTAAGTACAAAGTTCCACCTGACTATGACCAAGAAAGCCCCAAAAAACAATCCAGCAACTGTCCAGATGCCTGAAAATTGTCCTTAGCCTTTAACTCACTCTGAACTGAAAGTCAGATGCTTCCATGGGAACAAGTTCTAGCCAATACCTGGCCTACAGTCCCACTCTCTGCACCGAGGTCTTGCTATAGTATTCAGGATTCTCTCAGTTGCAAGTGACAGAAATCCAGCTTGAAGTTTATTGCTCACACAATTGTTAAGTCCCAGGAGTAGGTGAAGCTTCAGTCATGACTTGTAACAGGCATTCAAATGATGTGACCAGGGATGTCTCTTTCAACCCTTGACTCTCCTTTCTGTATTGGCTTCATTTCTTGAAATGCTCTCCCTTTGTAATGGCCTCCAGAAGCTCCAAACATACATTTTTAGCAGCCTAGCAAATCCCAGTAGAAAAAGAGCATCTTTTTCCCCACAGGCATCAGCAAAAGTCTTCAAGTCAATTCTCTATGGACAAATTCAGGTCATGTGTCCATCTTAAACCAATGCCTGTAGCCAGGGGTTGGGACATTCTGATTGGCCAGTTCTGGGTCATGTGATCACCCCCGGAGCAAGTGCAGGAAGGATGGGAGAGAGAGCTGCCCTACACCCTTGACATGGACTGAGTGAGGGAGGGGTGGCTCCCTCCAGGAAACTGGAAGTGCTCCTACCAGAAAAGGCAAAAAGCATAGAATCTACTATATCTGTTGTCACTCTGGGGCAGAGCATGGAGGTTAACACTAAAGCGTGGAGGTTGACACAGAAGAAGGACCCAGTTTTTGGAGCTGGGTACAAAATGGGAGCTTGCACCAGGGAAAGAAAAACATTTTCTCGTTTTGAGTCTGGGGTAGATGATGAGAGCAACCACGTTAAGCCTAAAGCCCCCAGATTCTATGTAACCTGGATGCTCACTGACGCTTTGTCAGCACAGGCTAATTGTTATAGGTGGCTTTTCTGAGAAGCAGACTCTGGGAAGGAGATTAACCTGCAAGAAGTTTGTTAGGGAGTGCTTTGGCATCAACACCTGGGGAAGGAGATGGACGGGAAGGTAATGGGATTGGGCAGAAGGTCAAGTTGCACGATGATGTGGTTTCAATGGAGGCCTCGGCCAACCCCATGGAGCGTTCTGAAGCTAGAACCACCTTTCAGAGTTTCCTAAAGGGATGGATGGGGTAAGGGGAGGGCCTTTATAGCCACGTGTGGGTCAGGCATGGATGCAGGCTGCCCTAGGAAGGGGGCATGGCCCTGGGAGAGACAGCTCTCCTTAGCTGTGCACTCCCCAAAGAGGTCTGGCAGTGTGGGCGTAAGCCTTTTGTTCCTCCGGGGGGATCTAAGCACATTAAAGAGTCCACCACACAGAATTTCAGCCTTAAACTGATAGAGAGGCAGTGTAGCACAGTCTGTGGAATCAGACTGTTGCATTCAAAATCCATCTTGCCACTTACTTATTCAAGAATCTCTCTGTACCTCAGTTTCCTTATCTGTAAAATGGGGATAATGATGTTACTCTTTCACAGGTTGTTGAGAAGAAGAGTTGATATTTGTAAGGCATAAGGTGCTTAGAAGAGTGACTGACACATAATAAGCATTTTAAAAGTAGACTAGAAATCCAATAACACCAAACATCATCAGAATTTTGAGTTGTAACTGAATATTTGGGGGGGATCCAGAGAAGGGGTCCTATCACACAGTATAACAATGTATTATTCAATAGACGTGTCTCTTTTTTACAAGTCTCTCCTCTAGAATGCCCTGGGCAGCAGGTTCGTTCCACCTCCTCCCTCCTTCCAGAGACCATACTCTTCTGCTCCTTTATCTATCTATCTATCTATCTATCTATCTATCTATCTATCTATCTATCTATCTATCTAATTGAGGTCATATTGGTTTATAACATTGTGTAATTTCAGGTGTACATTATTATATATCAATTTCTGTATAGACTAGTATCTTGCTCACCTCTAATAGTCTACTTTTTGTCTATCACCATACGTATGTGCCCCTTTACCCGTTTCACCTTCCCCCCACCCTCTTCCCCTCTGGCAACCATTAATCTGTTCTCCTTATCCATGTGTTTGTTTATCTTTCACATATGAGTGAAATAATACAGTGTTTGTCTTTCTCTGTCTGGCTTATTTCACTTAACATAATGCCCTCAAGGTCCATCCATGTTGTTGCAAATGGGATGATTTTGTGTTTTTTTATGGCTGAGTAGTATTCCATTGTATATATTTACCACATTTTCTTTATCCGTTCAGCAGTTGATGGGCACTTGAGTTGCTTCCACATATTGGCTATTGTGAATAATGCTGCAATGAAGATAGGGGTGCATAAATCTCTTTGTATTGTTGATCTCATGTTCTTCATGATATGTAGAGTAGCTTTCTTCTCAGGATTAAACCTGGATCTCCCCTGTGGCTTCCTTCTACCCTCTATCTATACTCTAGGGGCCAAATAATAATATATGTTATGTTATACTGTCTTTGTTACACCTACTCAACCCTGTCCTGGTAGTGTAAAAGCAACTAGACACAATTATAAATGAATAGGCATGGCTGTGTTTCAATAAACCTTTATTTACAAAAACAAGAGGAGGGCTGGATTTTGCCCACAGGCTATAGTTTGCCAAACCCTGCTCTACCCCACTGTGATTTTAACAAACTGCTTCCTCAATAAAGTCAGTCTTGCCTGATGAAGGATTCCAACGTCAGCTGCTAAGAAGATACTTTTCTCATATCAGTATCCCTATTGTTATTATTTTTATTAAACCCAAGACCATCTGACTCCTAAACCAATGCTCTGACGAGCTGAACCACATAATGCGAAGCCTCAATGAATTGTCCTTATCATCGCTATATTAGGATTCAGGAATATTGAAGATGGCGGAGTCCTCTATGTCAAACGTTCCTTTTCACAGGTGAGAAAAGTGAAATTGGAGAGATTTTATAGTTTTGCCAAGGACACAGCAACAGGAAATGACTGAGATGGAATTAAAAACCAGGCTTCCTAACTCTTAGTTGTCTGTTCTCTCTGGTCCAGATTAATAACCACAGCTAATATTTTTGGTTGTTTACCCCATGCTAAGAATGTAGCCTTGAAATCTCGTTTTGTCCTCACAACAACTCAACAAAGTTGTTGTTATCCTTCAGCTTACTCAGTGAGGAAACTGAGTCTCATAAAAGCCAAGTGACCTTATCAAAGCCAGGCAAGTGGTAGAGGAAAGACTAGAGCCCAGGGAGTCTGATGTCAAAGCTCAGGTGTCTAACATGTCATGTTGTGTTCACCGTACTGCTTCTTCCCTGTCCTAGAGAATGTCAGAGATAAGTTGACTGACCTTTGTGTCCAGTTCTAGCCATTCTTCTCTTGTCCTTGTCCCAGAGGACTTTCTGAAGCTTCTTATTGCCCAGGGGGTTGCCCTGGGAGTTTTCTAGGCTCACTTCTCACTCACCTGGAGCCTCTAGACTCAAGAGCTTCCCCTCACCCTATTTTTCCTTTGAAAATTCCAACCTCTTTGGGGTCATGAACAGTTCACCCTGGACTGATTTTCCCAACACATGGAGTTTGTCTTGGACCTGCCCAAGACAGTCACAGGGAAAATCTAATGACAACGAGTGGAAGAGATCCAGGTGAGCTGGGGCTCAGTGAGGCCTGCAGGGGCCTTTCCTTTGTATCCTGCCCTTCTTCCCCTTCCATTCCCCTTTGGGTCTTCTGTCTTCCTCTGGGGATATGAGACTATTTATGATAAGACATGTATATGATTTTTGTCTTTCCTTGGTTATGACCTCAAAATCTTTCCATGTTAGATGTTGAAAGGAGAAAAGGAGGGAATGAGAGAGAGAGAGGAAAGTGATGCAGGGTCAGCAAGCTGAGGAGTTGAAAGAAAGATTTCTTGGACTCTCAAGGTCTGGCAGTAGTGCTCTTTTATTCAGAGAATAGTGTGGAATAGCATGGGGACAGGACCCATGGGCAGTCAGAGCTGCTGCATGGGGTCAGGACCCATGGGCAGTAAAGAGCTGCTGCAAACGTGGGTTGAGGGTAGGGCTAAATTTAAGGCATAGATAAGTGAATTATCTCTTTACAAGACAAAGGAAAGAATATGTAAAAATAGTTGTTAAAATGGTATCAGTGCAGGTGGGGTCTGGTTATTGAGTGGTCCTATAATTTTTAGATAAGACTCAAACCAGATTAAGTAAATGGCTGAATCCACCACCTTAAATATTATTTTTAGCTAAAGATAAAGGAGGATGTTGGGGATGGAGGAGGAGTCAATCATGGGAGATTACCACACAAGTACAGTAAACAAGATGCAGATTGAAGTCCTTGCCTTTGGCATTGATTAAGAGTTTCTAGAGATAAGGTCATCCCCCCTTCTTCCTGGTACAGAGAGGGAGACACCTTTACAGATGGAGATTTCCTTTACAATGTAAATGTCTCTTAACAAAGGGTAAGTAAATTCTACTCCTCAGAGTCTCCTTACCATCTGCAGTTTTTAAAAGTAACCAGTCTAAAATAATCCTCATCAAAAAGGAGAGGGTAACATAGAAAAAGGCAAGAAAAATAAGAGAGAGAAGGATTAAAACAGCAAGAAAGAGCAACTAAGAAAGAAAAGAAGGAGTGAGGGAAGGTGGATTGGAGGGAGGGAGGAAAGACAGAAAGAATTGGAGAGAGGGAAAGAAACACAAGGGAGGATGGGAGGAAGGAAGGAATGGAGGGAGGCAAGGAGGGAGGAAGGAAGAAAAGAGATAAAAGAAAAGAAAGAGCTGGATTGCTGCAGGAGATCATAGCAGCATTCTTTCTAGGCTTTAAGCCTAGGCTGATACCAGATTGTGCCTTGGAATCAAAGGCCGGAAGGGGATATTGTATCAAGCATGAAGGCAAGGGGCTTAGGAACGCCAGCCATTGCAGGAACGGAATGCCGTCTGCATACCTTGCTGATTGTTCTTAAAATACTCCCCAAGGGATTAACCTGGGATGGGCTGGTGTGCTTCAGGGGGATGAAGAATAGAATCTTTGGACTTTGGCTTGCATGTCCCTGCAGGAATGAGTTCTGGCTATTGTACTTGCTTGAAATTCTTTACCCACAAATAAATATGTGGCAGTCTGAGGGACCTCACTTCAGTCCTTGAGGCTGATGGTCTCCTGTCCCATTGAATAATGTAGATTGTGTTCTGTCTATTAATTCTGTCCATCCCTTTGTCTGGCTGCCTAGCTGGACTTGGCAGCACTGGATCAACAGATTCAAGCAGAAAACTGGATCTTAAAAATGAAAGGCCAGGGCACCCTATCTCACCCCTGAGACAAGACCTCCATACAGAGAGGCTTGTGTATGTGGTTGGGAGAGTGTCATCACCCTCAAGTCACACCAAACCTTAGGGTGACCCTGACCAGAGAAGGGGAACCACCATTAATTGCACATTTGCCATGTGCCAGACACTGTGCTAGGCATTTTATAAATCCTGTCATGTTTCATCTCAGTGTGGCATCTACAGACCTCAGGTCATAGCTGTGAGAACTGTGTGAGCACCTCCAAAAGGTGTCCCTTCCCCCATGGCTCATGTGTGTGGTGGTGTCTAGTCTTCCTAGAATCAAGTAATAAAATCATTTTTCAGTCAAGACCCTGAGGGTTGTCTTTGGGGAAAACAAAGAAGGAGAGAGTGGCAATTGGTGAAAAACAAAACACAGACTCAGTTCTTGGGGCCTCTGGGACCCCAAGCCAGGAGTCCAGGAGACACAGGGGGGTGAGGACCATTAGGGCTTCACCACAACTCAGAGACAGAAGGTGAAACTTCCTAGCAGATTCAAGTGAGCTGGAGAAGACAGCAAAGGATCTCTGAGGGTCTATGACTCTTCTTAAGAATACTGAGTAATAATAGCAACAATGGTAATAATAATAGCCATCACTTACCAAGTGCGTACCATGTATCAGGCACTGTGCCAAAAAAACACGTGTATATGTATATCCTGCTTAATGTCTACAGTCACCCTTTGATTCATGTACTATTATTTTTCCTCCTTGACAGAGGAGGAAACCAAGACTTGAAAAGATTACGTGATATTCCCCAAAGTCACATAGTGTCAGGTTCCCACACAGGCCTATCTGCCTACAATGCCCGTGCACCCCTTCAATCTGCTTTCCTGCTCTTCTGGCCCTTGACAAAACACTTCTCTTACAGCCGTCTTTTAAAACATCCACTAGAATGTGGAGATACTGTGATATACTCTTCCTGGAGTCCACTAAATATGCCAGAGTTTTGTTTGGCCTAGTAGAGAAATGCAATCTGCTAATCAAATAAAAATACTTTGTTTTTCACAATCTGGACTTATCAATGTTTAAGGGAGTATCATTTAACTGAGGGCTTCCAAGAATTTAAAATCTAGCAGATTGCTCATCCTGACACTTTCACTGCTATCTTTATCCTATAGCGAGACTGTTTTTAGTCATATGCCTTTACTCAGTGCCCAGTCCACACTCTCCTTACTTTCTCCAGGCTCAGGAATGATTGGTGTTGGGAACCCATAACTTTAGGGGAAGTCTATGACCTACCCAAAGAAAAGGATCTGGCTCTTCTCTGCTCCATCCCCTTCTCCAAATGGCTTGTAAAAGCAATCACGATATTCAGCCAGTATCTTTCAGACTGGCTGAAAGGTTTGCCTACTGTGACTACAGTTAAATAACCTTCTCTTGTCTTTTTCAGGATGAGGTAAAGATAGACCACCTCGTCCTTCGTGTCCTTGTCTGGTAAAAGCCTTTCTAGTCTATTAAAGTCCCAGGCTGGCTGCAATTATCCACACATAAAAGGAGGAACTTACCCTGGAGACGGGGAGTCACCTCAGCTGACATTCACTATTATTTCAACATCAGGTTCAAGTTGTGAAATGACAGAGGGGTGGTCATTATATCACATGATAGGGAGTTTGGACTTCATCTGGAGAGTAACGAACTCAGTCAACAATGCATTTCTAAGCGATTACCTTGGTAGCTGAGTGGCGAATGTATTACAGGAGAAATTGAGAAATACTTAAAAGAATTCCTTCTCCCCGGAACTTGATGACTTAGCAACTAAATTATGTAGATGGGGTTAAGGGAAAGGTGGCACTGAAGGATGATGTCTCAGGTTTTTTTTGATCAGGTAAACTGGGGTAGGTGGTTATAATATTTTCTGAGAGGAACAGATTTGGAGGGAGGAACATTGAATCCAGTTGTGGTCATGTTAATTTATCTATGTTATCTATGGAATATCGAGGTTAGCATGTATTTATTTATTTTATTGAAGTAATAGTTTACAACATTGTGAAATTTCAGTTATATATTATTATTTGTCTATCACCATGTAAGTGTTCCCCTTCGTGCTTTGTGCCTACCCCCCAGCCCCTTTCTCCCTGGTAACCACTGAACTGTTCTCTTTGTGTATTTGTTTATCTTCCACGTATGAGTGAAATCATATGATGTTTGTCTTTCTCTGTCTGGTTTATTTCACTTAACATAATACTCTTAAGGTCCATCCATGTTGTTGCGAATGGGATGATTTCATCTTCTTTTATGGCTGAGTAGTATTCCATTGTATATATGCACCACATGTTTGTTATCCAATCATCAGTCAATGGGAACTTGGGTTGCTTCCATGTCTTAGCTATAGTGAATAATGCTGCAGTGAACATAGGGTGCATAAGTCTCTTTGAATGGTTGATTTCATTTTCTTTGGATAAATACCCAATAGTGGGATAGCTGGGTCATATGGTATTTCTATTTTTACTTTTGGGGAAATCTCTGTAGTGTTTTCCATAGTGGCTGCACCAGTTTGCATTCCCATAAGCAGTGTGCATGGGTTCCCTTTTCTCTACAACCTCTCCAACATTTGTTATTTTTTGTCTTGGTGATTATAGACATTTTAACAGATGTAAGGTGATATCTTAGTGTAGTTTTGATTTGCATTTCCCCAATGATTAGTGATGTTGAACATCTTTTCATGTGCCTACTGGTCATCTGTATATCTTCTTTGGAGAAATGTCTATTCATATCCTCTGCCCATGTTTTGATCAGGTTGTTTGGTGTTTTTTTTGTTGATTTGTGTGAGTTCTTTATATATTATGGAGATTAAACCCTTGTCATATATAGAGTTGCAAATATTTTCTCCCAATTGATGGGTTGTCTTTTTGTGTTGATCCTGGTTTCCTTTGACTTGCAGAAGCTCTTTAGTCTGATGAGGTCCCGCTTGTTTATTTTTTCTTTTGCTTTCATTGTCCTAGAGGACATGGTATTAGAAAAGATCCTTTTAAGACCAATGTCAAAGAGTGTACCACCTATATTTTCTTCTAGAAGTTTTATGGTTTTGGGTCTTACTTTCAGGTCATTGGTCCACTTTGAGTTTATTTTTGCGTATGGTGAAAGATAATGGTCTACTTTCATTCTTTTGCATGTGGCTATCCAGTTTTCCCAACACCATTTATTGAAGAGACTTTCTTTTTTCCATTGTATCTTCTTAGCACCTTTGTAGAAGATTAGTTGTGGTTTTATTTCTGGGCTTTCAATTCTGTTCCACTGAGCTGTGTGCCTGTTTCTGTACCAGTACCATGCTGTTTTGATTACTATAGCTTTGTAGTACATTTTGAAGTCAGGGTTTGTGAGGCCTCCAGCTTTGTTCTTTTTTCTCAGGATTTCTTTAGCTATTCAGGGTATTTGTTGCCCTATGTGAATTTTAGGAGTCTTTGTTCTAATTCCATGTCATTAGGATTCTCATTGGGATTACATCAAAGCTGTAGATTGCTTTGGGTAGTATGGACATTTTAACTATGTTTAGTCTTCTGATCCATGTGCATGGAATATCTTTCCATTTCTTTATGTCATCATTGATTTCTTTCAGTAATGT